TATATATATATATATATATATATATATATATATATATACACACACAACATACATATATAATACTGTTTAATAATTTTTAGTTTGCACACGCACATACACATGCACCCACATTGATTTAATACTATCGTTACATTTGTTTTGCAAGATAACGTGGTACATAACTGGGATATATTATCTGTTTGTTTCTATCACAGTTCGTAGGGAAATTATAAATGCCGTCACAATTAGTCAATTGTAATGACTTGTCGAAACAAATCCTTATCTCATTCACATAAGATTCACCCGTTTTCTGAAAGAAAATAAAGTAATGCATTTATGTAAGAGAATTTCACATCTTTATCTTTTATATGTGAAGATTTTTTTGTATCAGAAGAGAAACTATTCAAACGCGTTATTTATTTCCATGTTGAAATAATTTTTAAATTTACCTCATGTTTCGCACACGTTATTTGACCTCTTTTGCCCAACACTTCTTCAATTGCTGTTAACATCACGTCTATCGTATATGTTTCACCTGGTAAAATATTCGCTTTCGCTAGTACAACTATCATATTGTAGGTGTCAAGTAATTTTAGACCTTTCTCGAAGTAGTTTAATTCACTATTCAAAGCTTCTATTACAACTGCACAGGTACCATGTTTGTCCCACTCGTGTTTCCAAAACGTATAGGGCTTGGATCCATTTTGGATGTCGATCCAATTCTCTTTCAATTCATTTTCTATAGGCGCCAGAGCGCTTGCATTAAATGGCAACGATCTGTCACAATACTGTGGTCCCATTGTGTTATATTTCGTGGGCCAAATTCCGTGAATGGTCCACTCATCACGTTTAGGTAATAAGCAACTGTGCGACTCAGAATTTTCCTTCCATACAAAACATGCTGTCAACGGCCATCGTTCAGTAAATATCAAAACATCAAAGTCTGCAGACGTTTGTCTTCTCCATTGTCTTGAGACCGATCTGAAGCAGGAAACATACAAAACTACACAAAACTTACAATTTGCAACACTTTAAAAATATTATTTAAGTTATTAGAACAATTGTTTTATTACTTTATTACATTTTATGCATCAAGAAGTATATAAATAATAATGACTGAGATATCATTATTACTCCAATATTGTAAGAATATTTTCAATCTAATTAGGATCAATCTAATTACTTGAACAATAAGAATATTTACGCGCTCAATTGATTGAGCAAGATCGAACCAAAGATCAATTTATTTCGAACATGCATTAATTAAATCAACATTAGATAGTTTTGTTTGAAAGTAGAATTATGTCTAGGTGTTTTTTTTGTTGATGATTTCGTTAGAATTTCTTTTGAGGTGACTCGCGCGTCTACTTGTTGACACTTTTACACAGGCACACACATGTACACCTGTGCTGATACCAATATATTTCACCTTCAATTATCCACATATTGACATAGGAAATTATATAATATTGCAACAATTGTTTGCGTACGTACCCATGCGTCATGTGCAGTAAAGACAGGAAAAAAATACCCAATACGATATTATATTTGTGCATCCTGACAGGAAACGAAAAATTGTTTCACGTAGAGGGAGTGGAGAGAAACTGGTCCGAGGAAGCAGCGTTCAACGTTCAGCTAAATACGTTTAACGCTCCCACTACCTTTTTGTACGAGTGCCACCACTACCTTTTCTCACCGCTCTTTATATCTGCCTGTGTAGGCAGCAGATGGTCTTTCCTACCTGATCGCATTGTGAAATGTTTTCGTAAATGTTTTGTGAATGCTACAATGACATGTGTAACGAAGTGTAAAGTACATATTTTTAATTATGAGCACTCACAGTTGACATAATATTACATGAAATTTATAGCTTGAAGTACAATTAATATCTTAGCAGGTTTTATTAGCAATTATATGTTGTGACGTTTTGTTTTAATTGCATATGCAAGTGATAATTATTTCTCTCTTAAAAAATATTTTAAGTAATTAACATACACGACATATCACTGGCCAACATAACATTTGGCACAAGTAATTTAAATGTTAATATAGAATGTGATACGTTTTATCTATATAATTCCCGTGTGTGATATTTTTAAATAGCGAACAAATAATAAAAAAATACAATAAGAAACAGAATGTTGGAAACGCGAATGTTGGATCAATGTGGTGAATTTTATTAAATAAAAAAATGTGATATTATATTTGATAAATAATAAGATGTGATATTATATTTGATAAATAAAATATGCAAGTAATTTAATTTGGTAATACAAATGAAATTGTTGCATATTAATTGCGATCACGATAATCAAAATTGTCATTGTCTCTTGTCACATTTATCGCAAGGAAATATCGACATTAAAGGAGAAAGCAATTTAAAATTTTTTAATTCTTTGATGACGATATTTCATTTATGATTGATAATTTTGTCGACAAGTTTTAATTGTTAAAGTTAATCGACACTGGAAATAGTCATCCTTACACTTTTTATATGATTGACTGTGTCTCTACATATTAACAATGATTCCAAATATCACAACACAATTTTCGATCAGTTTGTCGTACGTTTTTAAAAATTCTCACTTAATTGCAACAATTTTTATGAGAAAACTTTTCCAAGTTCGATATTGTAAAGAAGAACATTATGTTCGAACGGTTTCTTAATTTTTTAATTCTTAACGGTAACTGCGCATTTTATAACATTGCTTATCTACGCTTATCGCGCGATACATTTTTTCTTGTTTCACATATATATACATGTATATGTGTGTGACGCAAAATCTTATAATCACAGTATTATAATCGTGCCGCATCAGCTTATTGCGGTAATCTCTGCATATGTACGTGAGTGATATATAAGAAACAATGATGAGCCAGCGCTCTCTCACCATCACTTTTATGATCTATAATCGTTTATATCGAAAACGCATTTTGTACTTTGGATAGTTCAGTGCTGTAACGCGAACTCTGTGTTTTCTACAAGATCTAATTGTTGCGATACCTTTTTGACATCGAACATAAAAATATCTTAATTTACGTTAAAGTTGTTACGATACTTGTGAGATATATTTTGGATTTTATTACTAAGCAATAAAATTAAAAGGAAATAATTTTCTAAGGGCGCATATAGTTTGTTTTTTAATAAAAGAAATTTTTTTTGCTTGCGTTGTACATTAAATATATTTTGTTTATTCATACTCGAATATATTGAAATCCATTATGACATAATCAGAAATAAAGAGTGTACAAATATTGTCAGTCACGTGCTGAAATAACTCTGGATCAACTTGTTCACAATCTTAATCCTTTGGAAGGTTTTGTTCGGTCGCACTCTTTGCCACAATAAATAATATAGGATTCCCTTTGAAATAAATAAGATGACTGAAAGAGCGAAAAGATCCAGCCAAAAGTTGGGAGAATTCTCCATACCTAGAGTTTAAACATTCATATTGATATTGAAACGCGCGGAAAAGAATCGTTAGTATACGCACTATATAGAATATACATACAACAAGCTATTAAAGTGGATGTTAAAGCGATTTTATTAGTCCGATCGTAATTTTACTCTTTACCTATTAATCTAAAGATTTCCTTAGGCGCACCATAATGACAGTACACTTCTTCCACCGGGCAAGGTAATTTTTTTCTACCGTAACCGTACGTAGCCACTATAAGAGCCTCCAATCCGTATCGAATATAACTGGCATACATCAATATTATTCGATATAATGGTTGCGGATCGTTAATACCAAAATTTTGTACCGCAAATAGTATAAGCGGACAAGATAATGCAGGTCCGGTAAATACACTATTCTGAAAAAATAAGAGCGTTTATATGTATATGTACACAATGTAATGAGTCTCTCACGGAGAGACACTTACCACGGTACTGAAAATACTAGCGATAATGTATCCTATACTTTCCGAGATGAACGCACAAATAAAGCAAGTGGTGAAGAACTTGAAGGATCTATGCCACTCCAGAGGTTGTCCCGTGACGAAATAAACTATCAATAGATATATAAACCCGAATAGTACCTGCAAAAAATTGTCAGGGATTTTATTTTAATATTTTTAAAAAATCCACTATAAAAAGTTTTGTCTATTGCTACACAACGGAGGAACACAATTTACCTGTTGAGGCATACTATATATTGTTAGGGCCCAGTAATAAGCGCTAAGTTTGTACCATCTGTTAAAATGTTCTCGTTTCATTATTGCGATATCTGAAGGAACTGTAACAAAAATAATAATGAATTAAGAAGGGCTTCGATCAGAGCCGATTTCTTTGAAGTTAAACAACTTTATAGTTCAAATATGTGTCACAATTATAGAAAGAAGTAATAAGAATAGTGAATTTTCTCTTACAACTCAATAGTATTGGCAGCATGGGTATAAAGAGGAACACCATCAGACATGCGAAACAAAAGCCAAAATTGAAGAGACTTCTGGAGCCATCGTTACCAATGTTCATAAAAAGTGAACCTATTACAATCCCTAAGAAAATATGTAGCCATAGTTTCAAGTACACGTAATTCTGCAGACACAAAAAAAGAATTTTCTCGTTTACTGTTTGTTTCAGAAATTTTCTGAATTAATAAGCTTATTAATCTTTTTTTTTTTTAATAAATTTTCTATTAGGATATATTTTATAATTTTAAAGTTGAAACAATACGTTTTAAATACAAATTTATGAAACATTCTTTTTTGAAACATTTAGTTTCAGAAAAGAATTATATTATTAATAATAATTAGTGTGATACAATATATGTTCTTATCGGGTGAATCTATATTTTTGAAAGTTGAAAACTAATATTTGTCGAAAAGAGAAGCCTCGTTAAAAAGAGAAAACAAGGAGATTGGTTTGTAAATATTTGAAGAGCTTATGAGTATTTATAGAACATTTCATATTTACTCAATATCTAATGTGTATTTATAAAGTTCATGTTTTATACTAGAAATGTGGAATAAGTCAAAATATGTTTAAATACATTTATACAGCGGAATTGCTGGAGAGTTTAAACTTTATTAATATACCGATAGATCCACCTTCATTTTTTACTACACTCTTACCCTATTTCGATAAAGTTGTACTATCATCCTTTTCAATAGTGTGCCAAACTGATCAATCCATAAAACCTTCAGATTCTTTTTGTCGAGATCATCGAACTCATATTTCGAGTGAGAAATCGGAAGAATAGGTAACTTCGTGTCTATGCACGCAATTATTTGTTCGATTAAATCGCAACCGTAATCGCCCGATGATATTTCTATTACTGAAATGAATATATAATTTCATGTATTCGGGTGGGATTAAAATTCAACTAAATACGAATTATAATTCCGAAAATTTTCTATAATTGCATTTTTCTCATGCAGTCATTAATAGAATGTTATTAATAGAATATTATGCATAACATTCTATTTAATAATATATTATTTTCTGCTATGAGCATCGAATTATAGCTACTTCGGAATTAATAATTTTCTTTTTTTTCATGTCACTTAAGAATACAAACAGCATTTAGCTTTATCCGGCTTGTAGTACTCGGTAATAATTGCTTGGTAATAAAGTAATCGAATGATACTGCTGTTTGCAATATCTTGCATATGACATTGAAATAAATGAAATTTTAATTTGAAAAGTACGATTGTGAATAATAAGTGTGACCTTTATATATGCATAAACTCACAGAAGTCTGCAGGATTGTAATGTTTCGGGCATTCCAGGCCTATATTTCGTAAGAATGGCACCACGTTGCTCGAAGTACCCCTGTAAACGCATTGTCCCGCAGCTATGACGTAGACGTGATCGAATTTCTTAAATATTTTTGCGCTGGGAGTGTGTATCGAGCACACGATAGTTCGTCCAAAGTGCGCCAATCTTTGGAGAAGATCAATGCATTGAGTGGAAGATAATTCATCCAATCCGCTAAAAATAGAAATATTTAAGTGAGAAATTTTAAGCTGTTGTTATATCAATATGTACCGAGAGAAAGGATCCGGATAGAATGCTTTTTTTCATCACAAAGTATTCTGCACAAGAGCTACTCGTGAAGAGCAAACAATTAATAGCATTTTATTTTCGTGACACGTGTTGCACATATTTGTTCAGGCTTATTTGCTAAATGTGTTGACGAGATGTGCTAAGGCCTCTATCGCGAGTAAATGTTTTTTTTATTATTTCCACTGTTTTCGTTTCTCACTCTTTTTTACTTACTAAACGATTAATTATTAAGTGTTTTCTTTCTATTTAATATATTTAAGTAGTACATATGCAAAAGCAGCTGTATATATCCAATATATAAAAAAAAGATATCGATACCTTTCGATTTCTTAGCTCCTTGCGAGTTGAAAATGGTTACGTTTTAAAAATGTACAAGAACAGTTACAAATCTTATAAAATTGGGGGAGAAAAGTGCGTCCAGTTGCAAAAATCTCTACTCTGTGCTGTTGCAAAATACACTGTTTATGCAAAATATCCATCAGTCATATTATAATTGCAAAAGCAGTTAAATCATGGCAAAGAATATCGCATTTTTCAATACAAAAGTTCAATTATTTAAACGTGATATGCAAGATACTTCAAATGACAGTGTTTTCCGACTACTTTATTAATAAGCAGTTATTATCGAGTATTACAAGTCGATTAAGCTAAATGGTGTTTGCGGTTGGATCGTTAAGTAACATAAAAAAAGAAAATTATTAACTCCGAGATAGCTATAATGGTTAAAGTATGCCAAAATGACAAACCTTGAACTTCAAGTTGCGAAAATAGCTATATATTTTTTTTTTATTAAGGAATTATTCTTATCAAGAATTTATTCACAAAAATTTAGACTAAAAGTAAAAAAAGTAAAAAAAAAAATTGTAAAATTTTTGCAAGATGTGGAATGATGAGTAAGAAGCTACAGAAATAAAAAAATAATCATGTAAAAAGTCTTTATCATAAAAATTATAACCGGTCTAAACTTGCTTTATTGAATTGGTATAATAGTGACACACTTCTGATGATCTTCTGACGGGTACTTTCCACTTAGTGACACATATGTTATTCTGTTTTTTTTTTTCAACATGCAGTGAACAAGATAAAATAAATACTTCTGTCGATTTGTGTTGCTAAATGTACAGCATTCTACACGTTCAGACTTTAAATGTTTTTACGCAGAAGATAAAAATGGAATTATTCTATATCTGTTAAATGACTTCAACTGTTTTTGTACTTATTGTGCAGAAGATAAATGGTAGATACCAGTTCCAAAATCAGCTAAATTCTTTGTCCAGCTGCAAAATCAGTTATTGAATTCTATTTTAATGATAATTCAATAAAAACGAAGTTATGAGAGCCAGAACTAAGTATTAATGCTCAATTTTTTTTTATTTTAGTATTTGACCAATCTATACGTTTCGACTTTGGCCATCTTCAGTATAATCTAAAATAACGCATAATGTGCAGTAATCTAGCTCAACGCATAAGATTCACAAGGACAGTTATATATGCTCATCATGATTTTTAGTCTATTTGCATAAACATGAGATAATATTTCATGATTCCTCAATTTTTGCAGTAATGTTTATTGAATTAATATAGTGACACATTTCTAATGATGTTCTTCTATAATGTCAATCTCAAACCAGTCAATTAGATGTACAATGTGATGTATGTGATGATAAAATTATATTGATAAAATATATTAACTAATTCAATGAGAACATTTATATTATCACGGTCCGATTTTTCTGCTGTCACTCTATTTTAATCTATTTTAATAAATATTTTAATAAATAGTAATTGCATTTCTTATGCCATATTATACACGTTTTGTTAATTAAATCAATGACTGTTTCTTAGACTTCTTCTTAACTTTCAAAAAGAAAGATTTTATTGATAGCTTGAATGCGATAAATTATCTAAATTTCTCTGCTCTCGCCAAAAAACTTTCGATTGTTTTGTTTAAATGAAACTGAAAAAGATGCCGTAGCATAAAATCGAAGGCATAGAAGTTGCTTGACCGATGAAAATGGAAGACTTTTTTTTCATATTTTCTGGCCGACTTCTTTCTTTGTCTACTTTTTCTCTTTCATTCTCTTTGTTTCTTCCTGCAAAGCTATATTCAATTTGCGGGAAAAAGATAATCGTAAGCCTGTTCTTAACGGTATACGGACGAACGGCCTCGCAATCCCTTGAAATCATACCGCAGGTTAAAAATTTGTTGGTGCCGCCTCTGTTACGAATACTCGAAGCACGACGATTCGCGCAGAAAGCCGTTACAATATTTTAAGAGGTTTTTTCATTTTGTGGAAGAATATAATGCATAACAGATTCTTTACGAAATCAATATCTACTAATAAATTCACTTTCACGCCATTCAAAAAAGTTTCATTTATTCCAATATAACGTTTCGGCAATTGCACAGTTCATTATATACATCATAATATTCCATCCAGTCGTATATTGTTGTAATAAACCGATTTTAAAGAATTTACAAAATATTAATATAATATTAATATAAATGCTTCTCAGATAAAGTAATTTCATAAAAATTTGTCTTCTTTTTTCCCCCGCTATTTATGCAAATACGTTTTTATGAAATACATAATTATTGTAATACAATTAATTAAACAATTCATGTTTAATTAATTACAACAATATATGTTTTATCTCGATATTGAGCTAATGCATGATAAAAGAAATCAGACAATTGATTGAAATTTATTTCAAGACGTAAGTACTTACGTAGTCGGCTCATCGAGAAAAATAACTGGCGGGTTATCCACGAGTTCAAGCGCAATTATCAGCCTCTTTTTTTCGCCACCGGAGAGTTTATCCGTAATCGTGTCGCGCGCTTTAGATAATCTAAGTGTACTCAGAATTTCGTCTATCTGAAATTAGTTATTACATTGACATTTCAAAAACACGATATGTTTATATGAATTATTTTATTTACAATTTGTATTGTAAGTCTTTGCGGCATGATTGCCGCTCGATTGTCCTCAGCTGACATACTAAAGACGTATTACATTGTGAAAGAATTGAGTGTTATGTCTGCAAGACATAATTTAATGTGCTGAACAAAAAAAATGATTTATCACTTTTATGCTAATTGTGGCGTGTTCTTACTGTTCTTTTTTATATTTCTGATTTAGATTTCATACATATTTGACCTTATTGCATAAATACATTGCAACGTTTTCGCTTTTGAGAGTAGCAAACAGCGTCCTATTTAACAACTTTTTTGTTTGTTAAGACGGTTAATAATAATAATAATGTCCCGTTAGCATCATCTAGTATTCGAGATGAGACCGTTACACAAATTATGCAGACTCTGCTGCTATAAAATTACACAGCGGAAATGTCATAGAAAATGTCTACTGTCACAGAAAAAAATTATGTCACAATTTGATTCGCGTGAAAAATACTTGATATTATTACTGAAGTAATAAAGAATAGCTGAAGTACTTGATATTATTAAAAATAAAAAATATTTTACCAATAAATTGCTGAATGCGCAAGTGTATATAATTAATTTTTCTTTGGGATAACTTTTTAAAATATCATTTATCGAAGAATGTAATTTTATTAATCTATTTCCGTTCTTGAATCTTTCGCTAATTATTATATTATTATGTTTTCTAATTATTTGTGATTTAGAAACTTTTAACTTTTTGGTGTTGATAGAACCTTCCAATATATACATATCGTTGTAATTATTTAAAGATTATCAGATGCACGGTATACTTACAATGATGTGTTTCTCAGATCGCGATTTTTTTCTGCCGAGTTTTAAATCCACGACGAAAGACATCGCTTCGTAAACCGTAAGTTTCGGCTGTACGAGAATCTCTTGCATAATGTAGCATGACATCTTTTTGAACTGCTGCATGTTTCGTGGTTGTCCATTAATATTAATCGAGCCATTTATATTACTATCTATATAACTGTAAGAAAGAGTCTTAATATTTTTAATGTTGACAAATTGCACGTGTCCCATTTGTTGTCAAGTATTATTGATTAGATAATTTCGATGTTCTTAATTAATATTGATATTACATTTAGAATTTAAAATTAGTAATATCTGAGGTTTAAGAATGTAATAATCAATTTAATAGAGAGAGATATCAGAGTAACAGTATACAAAAAAATATAATAAAACGATCTGCTAATGGCATTGATTACATTATTCTGTGTAATAAATAAATTATACGTTTGTTGTTAATCTAATTACTGTCTGTTATTATTCAATTTTTTAATAAAATTTTTTACAAAAAAAAGTTTACTTACAAGGAAAACCGCTAGATAGGAAACGCAAATCGTAATCAAATTTTAAGAATAGGAGGAGAGGCCTCCCCCCCCTAAAAACTATTAAAGTTTGGTTACAATTTGCGTTTTTATCTGGCAGCTTTTCCTTGTAAGTAAATTCTTTTTGTTCTCCTTGCTAATGAAATAACCTGCATATATGAGATCAAAAATAGTTGAAGATATTGATGTTAATTGAATGTCAGCAATTATTAAAGCGATGACAAGAAAGATTATAAGATTGATCAGTTTAATCAATGCAGGCGCTGCGAAAGCGGGAGGGAGGGGGGCAGAGGGGCTACGCCCCCCTGAAATTTTTCTGTTTTCTTCAGGTATTTCATGACCGAAAATATTGAGCATCAAATATTTGCATCAAAGGTGGAAAAATGAGTGATTTTTCTTTTCTTTTTTCTTTCTTTTTTCCCCCTTTTTTTTACTATTTACTCGTTCAATTAAAGTTTTTACATTACATAACAAAAAAAATTAAGCGCATTAATTAGAGCAAAAAATCTGTGCATATTTTTTGCACATTAATACTACCCACTGAGTGGCCTATTATATGGTTTGAATGGAGTTACATACATATACATATTATGAATGTATTATGTATATTTATATACCCCCTTTATAAATTTTGCCCCCTCAAATGAAAAATACTTTCGCGGCGCCTGAATTTTATTAAAATTTGTGATTGTTTAACTTACTTGAATCCCGCTAAAATATTTAGTAGTGTTGACTTTCCAGCACCGGAAGGGCCCATAATCGCCGTCAACTCGCCCGATTTGAATTGCCCACTGATTTCTCTCAGAATTACCTGTGAGCCTGTAAAATTAACAGAATGTTGACAAAAAACATGTAATTATTTAAAGAGTCCAAAATATGATATTTATGAAATGATTAATAAGAAAGTAGTACTCTCTAAATTTTTTGGAGTGAAATTTTCATTCTAATCATGGAGTCAGTCTGACCAGTTCACTCCATGTGGAGTTGGCGCTCCAAATTTCACTCCAACTTAAAGTGAAATCGCCTTCTCGTTGGTAGCGTCAGAACCGGGGGAGGTTCTGTACGTTCTGTATTTTGTACGTACGTTGGGATAGTAATTATCCCGTAATCGGGAAGTAATCGGGAAAGTAACTAATCTCTATCGAAAACATTAACAAAATCCCAGACAACACGCATGTCCAAAATCTTTAAGATACTTATGTCGAGACATAAGACATCTTAAAGACGTAGACATCGTGTCGAAAAGATGTCAAAAATGACGTTTTAAGACGTCCCGATTTCACTTTTTCGAAAAGTGAAATTTTACTCCACTTCGACTGGCAGTATTATTACTTGAAGTGACTTTTCACTTCAAAAGAGTGAGATTCCACTCCAAGAAATTTAGAGAGTAGATAAACAAAATAAATCTTATTGATATGTAACGAAATTTTTTCCTCGGATCGCGAAGAGAAATGAATCCTATTAAGACATTCAAACCGTTTTTAGCAGCAGCGATAATAACAATCATAAATCTTGAGTTAGAAAGATTGTATCAATGACGCAATATAATAAAAAATTTATAAATCACTGCTAATAATAAAATTTATAATGATGAGATATAAAATCACAGTAAAAAATATAGCATCTTTGCATTATTCATTTTCCGAAGCGGATTGCAATACTATTGTTATTTGGAAGTAAGATGACGGTTTTATAATCTTTTTCTTGCTCAATTTCAAGTTGAGCTATTTCAAAGTTCAACTTAACGTTTATGCAGGCTATTAAAAAATTTTTTTCCATGGAAAAAATCTCTAATAGCGTGCATAAACTTAGCATAAACTTCGTAGCATAAACTTTACGAAGAGCATAAAATACCAAATTTAATTCATATAAATTACTCATTGAAATGACATAGATAAATAATAATAAACTGCGCTGCAGAACATAGTACAAATATACATTTTTAAAATGTTCAATTTGTAACGAAGGAGCTAAGGAATCCAAAAGTAACAATATCTAATTTTTTTATATTTTTGGATATAACAGCTTTTGCGTACAGCCTACTCTCTTTCTCTCTCTCTCTCTTTCTCTCTCTAATGTATTATATACGTAGGTTGCTTTAAAAGTTTTGCGGTTCGGCTATTTCTTGCAACATGGCGCTGTCGGCAATATTTTTTTCGGATTCTCTGAGATTTTTTAATGCGAACAGCTGTTATAGATTGTTAGCATATTGTTGTCATTGTTTAATAATTTCTTAAATAAAGTAAGTTTTGTGAAAAATGGAATTAACCCGCGAACATTTTTGAGTCATAATTTTCTACGATTTTAAAGACGGTCTGACTAGACAACAGTGCTCGAAAAAAATCAAACGATTTGGTGATAAAGCTCCATCCTTGGCAACTGTTGAACGATGGTACGAGTTCCAGTGTAGACGTGTTTCGCTCAAGGACGAGCATCGTGTTTCGCTCAAGGACAGCCTGCCACTGCAGTCACTCCAGAAAACATCGATGCCGTGCGCACTATGATAAAGACAGATAACCGCTGCACATACAGGGTCATTCGGGCATCCTTGGGTATAGGTATGACCCAAATCAGAACCATCCTGCATGATCATCTTGCTGTCAGGAAGCTTTGCGCTCGGTGGATACCACACAATTTGACGCAAGCTCAAAAGAAAGCGCGTGCACCATCACACAACGCATCTCAAACATTAGAGTTTTTGGCCGCTTCAGGAGTGAAATTGATGACTCATCCGCCTTATAGTCCCGACTTGGCATCTTGCGACTTCTTTTTATTCCCATGCATCAAAGGCAAAATGCGTGGATTCACATTTAACAGCCCGAAAGCGGCGGTGGAAGCCTACGAAAATCTCGTTTTTGAGGTGACTGCAGAATATTGGGCCCAGTGTTTTCAGGACTCGTTCCACCGAATAAAGAAGTGTATAAATCATGAAGGCGAATATTTCGAAAAACAATAAAAAAGATTTGGTTAAAATAATTGATGTTTTCTTTGTCATCCGCAAAACTTTTAAAGCAACCTACGTATAATGAGAACGATAAATATTTTTATAATTCGTAGAAATTATTTAAAATCTGCATGTAAATTCCATTATGTTTACATGTTATGCATATAAAAAGATAGGCTATTTTAAAGATTAAAAGTTTTCCATTTTTTTTGCTTGATTTAAAAATAAATATTTCTATGGAACTGTATTTTAAATTTTGAATGTAAAACTTTTTCTGGCCGATAAAAACTTGATATAATTTCGAATACATCAAGTTAGCGTGACCTCTTGATTGTGTGAGTAGATTATATAGTTTTGTTTTATTGTACTATCGTTATCAGAACAATTGCATTACATGAGAAAAATATACGCTTAATTAGCATATATTTCTTATCGGCTTCCTTATCCGCTTTTTTATCGGTTTTCTTATCGGTTTGTTCTATATATTTTTTTCTTTTTGTCATACTTACGTTGCAACTGCTATATAATTTACAATTGAAATAAGAAACAGATCATGCATAGTACAATAGTTTATAATGAATATAAGTGAAATAATGCGATATTACCCTCAAATAAATAATAAAAGAACATGTTCTACTTGAATAACTTTTTATATAAAAATATATTTTTACTATCATTGTTCGAATAATCTATTTAACTTATACTTGCTTGTTTTAATAATGAATATGATTTGAAACAGAAATCTATTATGCATATACAGGGTGATTCTTATAAGGTGACGCGATTATCTGTGAAGTTTGAAGTCGTATTGAAAAATTTTTCAGATAAAAGTTGTTTAGTTCGAAAGGGGAAAAAAGATAGGAATATTAGTTTGACCTTGAGTGGAAGCACTTCGAAGATTTGAAGATCATCGTCATTTTTTTAAATAAAACCACTAATTTTTTCACATAAATCGATTCCTCGCAATATTTGTCATGTATTATCTTTGTTTTTACTTTGCATGATAAATTTCGTGTTTAACTCTCGCTCACTCAATGCCGGGTCATTTTTTACTCGTCTCTTATTTATGTTTATACACAACAGTGTATATCGATATATAATGTTACATTCTACTGAGCTCGGTGTATCTTATTTCTTTATTTTTTTCACTCTATTACTTTTCTTCAAAAATTCATGCGATAAAAGAATTATATAATATTCTATGTGTACATTGTGCAGATAGCGAATAGAGAACATTTATTTCTTTATTCTTTGTAAATTTATTTTCCTTTTTTTCAAGTATGTTAATGTCATTTAACAATCCATTATAGTATAATAAGATACTATGTCGATAGAAAAACTAATTCTAAAGTACTGATTATGAAAATCTTAACATGAGACATAAATGACGGTCGCTGCTAGACGATCGGGAATTCGAGGATTAATATATATATAAATTCTTCTACGAGGAAACAGCCTTCGACTATTTATTATGTAGCAATCAATTATGAATCATTAGATTGCGCATGGTTTTTACAAACACTGTTATTCATCTTAATTATCGTGAACATTTAAATGATATTATATAAGTATTTGCCAGCTTCTCGTCGCATTTTTGAAAAAGAGAACAATTGCAGCTCGTAAGTGATGTTCTCATCATGATGTTCGCTTTAATGCGTCTAACGTGTCGTGCGTAATTGTGAGTCATGCTTCTATCGTTCTCCTTTATGAAAATACAAAGAAAGTCGATCTGAGATTGCCGCGTCGTCGTCGACCGTGAGTGAAGTATTACGCACTAATTATCGAACATCCGCCAGAAAAGTGACACAAGTCAGAAGAGAGGAAAGAAGGAAGTGTTAATAATAACAACGTTTCTTATTAATAATATTATGAATTGGTTTTTATCTCAAATTCTGTGGCAAGTCATAGTCTGAAACAAGCTTGATTTTGCGGAAAATAATTTCACATGTTTATGTGCTTGGTTAAACAATGATTTTAAAATAATTTTAAAATTAATTATTTACAGCAGTATTAAACATTGCGGACTCACGCGGAAAGTATTTGAATTCAACTTCTATCACTTTTCCTGATTGAAAGCCGATGTATTTAGGATACAATCCACACATAAAACAAAAGTCGAAAAATTTCGTCTTGTGTCACTTTTCTTGTGGATGTGCGATATACAATTTAAATGTTAGTATTCTTTTGCACTTATTGCGCGTATTACTAATTGTAAGTATAAAAAATGATATATTATATAAAAGATATATAAAAGATACATATAGTAGCAGATAATTTCTTTACTTAATCTGTCGTGATAAAAAAAGAACATTTGCTAAATCATAGTCGAAGTAAAAAGCAATTATATTGAATTCCAAGTAGTGGCAATTTGTTATAAATTGTGCATACCATTATGTTCAAGATCAGTAAAAAGATTAAGTTCGTGTTTAATAACAGTATAATTTTTAATCATTTAATAGTACTAGTGATTTTTTATTATGCAATAATTAAAATAATTGTTTGAAGCTGCAAGAGCTTGAGCCAGATAATCTTGCTCTGTTTTCTATTTTATATTAACATCTTATTTACAAAGTCGTTAATGTAAAATAAAAAACAGAGCAAGATTATCTGACTTAGGCTCTTGCAGCTTCAACCAATTATTTTGTATTATTTTCAAAGTTGCGCTTATATAACTAAGATCAAATCATACGCAAGATGCTTCAGAAAAGATGAAGAAGATATATAGCTATTTTATTCTTTTAGACGTAACACAGTTTAAACTTATATGAAATTTGATGAATAGCAAACTGCAAAGAGCTAGTTAAAAACCCGACCAACGCGGAGGATTAAGATATGTTGTAAAAGCAAGGCACGTACTTCCACAATACATGATTTCACTAAACACAATACTCGTTCGTGATTCAAACAAAAAAAAGAATGGGACTTTTTACCGTTTTTGTATATTCAGTTCTCGTTTTTATGCTCAAATGTGATATTGCATGGAAATAATTTCATCAGAATAATGTTATGTTAATAATACAATAATATTTAAAATATGATAATAATATATAAAAGAATTTAATTGTGTAGTATTGCAATTTATGTCAAGAATTTCTTTACGTGTTGTAAATTATAGATAAACGTTTCGTCGTTTGTTACCTAACGACGTGGCGCGAGGCACGATTATATTTTTCAATATCTCCATGCAACAAGGTATCAAGTGGGCAGAAGAAATTATAATGTGATTATGCATCTTAATAACGATTTCCTTGTTAAGCAATTTCATCATTTCCAGGAATAACAAAATACGCTTACTCTTAATTGATTCTGCACAATGTGTCTAATGACAGATTTTTTCCGGAATGGCAACTTCAGAACACAGAAAAATTATTCCTAAAAAGGAAATCTAGTTTGCTGACTCAATTGTTCACTGAAAAAGTTGCATTTCTAATCGAAATTATTTCATGTTGCAAAGATTGCATTCATACAAAATAATAAAATTAGATTTAATTATAAAAATACTGCGAATTTAAATTGATTTTCTTCTGGAAGAGACACTTCTAATTCTCAATGGTAAAATCTCGTAAATATCGTAAAAATTCTCAGTCTATTATGCAGATACGTAATACAATTGTATTTATAATGTATGCTGACCTTCACGTCATCTGTTGTTAACTCGTTAAATCGAAAACTTGTAAATCAGCAAATCTGCTACATTCTCATTCACTTTTTTATTACTTATAAGTTGAACTTTAATTATGATTCAATCATTAATTTTAATTACAAAAGAATCTTATGAAGATACATGTTTTATTAATAAAACTGTCGTTAAAAAAGTAATCTAATTATAATATTACCATAAACAGTGGAATTATTGAGTTAATCAAATAATAGCACTGTGCCAATTTCTATCATATAATTTATAATGTTTCTCTTGATTCGTTCATGTAAAATGGAATACGATATAAATTTGAAATACTTATAAACTGTATTATATTAATTGCTCGATAACAGATCGATGATATACATATATGCAGCTCGCAAAATGCACACAGTTTTTAAAATCGTTAATTGTATTTTAGTCTAAATATGATGGTGCACAATTATACCTACTGCGTAATACAATATTATGCAGCTCAATTAAGGAAAAAGTACCTTCTCATATAAGCTGCATAAGCTACGATCAAATTCTTTTAATATGCCTTCTTATATGCAAGATACTTTGAAGATTTTTCTTACAACGTAAGAAAAACACGTACGTATACGTTTTTATGCATAAAGGCCATTTAAAGAGTTATTCGCATTACTGCTCATTGTGATTGATCGATTTGCTTACGCTTTACAATTAAGTACGGCGAAAAGTTGTTTACGCCTTAAGGCTTACTTGTTAGTCAATTAAAGTTTGTGATAAAATCGTGTTAATTGCAACTCTGCTCGTCTCAACTTTCGGGCTCGCGTAAAGATACACGGTCGGTCTTGCGCTGCGCGTGAACTTGGCGCGAGACACTACCGTGTCTCTTGATACGCCGAAACGATTCTCATGAATAATGGATATTCGATCATTTTTTTCTACCTGAAGAAAATTGATATTAAAATTATTTAATTATTAAACTGATATTGAAATTATTTAATGTGTTAATCGCTTTTAGTTTTGTTAAACAGAGTGATGCAACAATTTTCCTGCGTCTTTCTGTCTTCATGACAAACCAGAATTCGCTGATGATAACTTAATGCAGAAAATAAAAAAAACAGGTAGAGATATTTCGAACCGTATCTCATGCGCGATACTATTTCGCATACAATTTTTTAAGGGTAGTTTATAAAAATCTATTTCGCGTTGCATTTGTTACACATAATTTGCGACGCGTGCAAAATGCATTCGATCGCTATTATTTTGTACAAACACTACTTCACATCGTGTATAGCAAATTTCAAGTGCTTGCCAAAAATTATGTTATCCAATTTTCAAAACAAATTTTATTTAAAAAAATGCATAATATTCTTAAAACATATAAACACATAAACATATTATCATGTTTCTTCGTAAAATTTTAATTACAGATTAAATGAAACACAAAGATGAAAGACATTATTGATGATACAAACCGTAAAGATAGTATTTTTTCAGAATCACTTTGTGACAAAATAAAAAACAAAAAGAAAAGACAATACTTTGCAAAGAGCAGTTTTCTTTTAAATTATATGATGCGTTATGAGAGTAAATTTCATTGTCAACCTGTCGATACATAGAAATAATTATAACAATAGAGATCTCCGAATAAATAAAAAAGGAAAGAATACTCATGAATACTGTCGAAATTATTCCCGATATAATCTTCTAAATATTTTACAGTTTCTATTGTTGCGTTATATTAATTGTGAAATAAAATTAGTTACCTTTTCGAGCAATTGGCACCGAATACTTCAAATTATTAAACTCGATGTCCACTGCGCTCATTTTGGAGAGATACGTTATTTGTGCACACTCGTTGTTATTGCCGGAAGTATCGTTCACATCTTCGCAGTGCATTCCATCAGCTTGCTTTACGTTGTTTTCTGTAAACTCCATGATGGATCTTTTCCTAGAATTTCGAAAATTATTTATCTTTAACTTACAATTGCCATTATCAAGTATTTTCTTCTAATGCAATAAATTGTTTCTCATAACTAAAAGTCCATATAAAAAATATGAGTTTTAGACGAGTAAAAAATACAAGTAAAAATATTTCGTAAAAGCACAGAAATTAATCAAGAATATTTTAATTAATAGTACGAATGAAAAAGAATTGTTCAATGCTCTTTGCATATTTGCAAATTGTTGTATTATATTTTTTTTTTAAAGTTATCCAAAAAGTCAATGTTTTTTTTACGACAAATTATATTCTAAAATTTTCTGTAATTTACATATACATGTATGTACATGTACGGAGAACAGATAAATATTCAAGGCGAATGACAGTAATATACTATACAGTTCCGACTGTGCGCTATACGCATGCGTGTTTAGTAAATCCCATGAAGCACGTTGAACTTCAAGGAAGCGTGTTCGATCCAACGGCCAACGTCAGTGAATTAAGACCGATAAACTTGCCTGACACACGTTATGTGAGACAACGATAGACTTTATCGCTTACAGTTAAAATAAATAATGAAGGCCATTATGATTCAATAATTATCTCTGAGATCTAAATTCTCTGATTCTCCTTATATGTGATATAATAAGAAATCGTAGATTAATTATAAAATACAAACTAACATTTTGCACGAATTTAATTCTTTCGCATTTGTTCATTTAATTGCACGGTGATTATAAAATATATATAAATTTTCTTGCGATTTTTCAGTCACACGTAAAGCTTCCATTTTTTACCATTTTATCGTTCTACGCATTCTGACCGGAAATGTATGATTATACAGTTGACATCGTATCAAGCGTCGTATCGTTCGTCCTTCGCGATTTATTCCACTGTTTTCATTAGTCGCGAAACAATTAAAAGGTTTAACTTATTCATGAGTATTCAATGCATTTGTCACGTTGCACAGTATTTCGACTGTGTTAATTTCCGGTTTGCTGTTCTATTGTGCGAATCTGTGAAAGCTTATCACAATTCTATGCATATCCACACGCATATACATAATAGAACAGTAAGATAAGATTAAAATTATTAATTTTTGAAACATTTCCGACGTTTAATATGTGACACTTTATGCTATACTTAAATAACATTTTTTCTTTAGATATTTAAATGACAATAAATATGAATGATGTTAACCAGAATCATGTAACCATTGCAATTGTTTTATGATAGGAGGAAGAATTTCATTAATTTTATCTGTTTACATTTTTTTTATATGTATCAATTTTTATATTTTTACATGCATTTAGTCGTGATAAAACAGACGTCTGCGTAAAACGCGTATAGATAAGAGATAGAGATAAAAGTGAAAAATATTAGAAAGAAAGTATTTATCAGAAAGTTCATCGCTTCTTTAATATGTTATTGACAATTGCATTTTATTTTCCTGGTCTACGTTTGTGTTTGTTTTTTATTCCGTTAAAGTTTTTTCCTCTTGCATAAAAATAAAGAATGCTCAGGAGATTTCCTCCTTTTTCTCTCATCTACAGAATTTTCATTTTATTTTTTTGTTTTTTTTTTCTCAACTATACATTTATCTTTATAACTAATAAGGAAGATTCGGCAACCCGAAAATTCTAAAAAATCTGAAACTCTTTGCAGAAATATAGTACATATAAACCTAATAAAACTATTTTTTAATTTATTTGGTCTTTATAAATTGGATTTTACAATATAAGTAAAATTATTTTTTAATTGTGATATAACTGATGCGTGCTATCTGTTTATCATATTGAAACTCTCTATCATTTCAAATAGTAGAAAGCAATAATAATCGGATAAAACGTAATAATAATCTACATAATAGTTAAATTTATTCAGACATAAATGCATGAATCTAATTTGTCTTGATGTTTATCAAAACGTTGCAAGTTACTTGGAATTATAAAGGTAAATAAAATGCTTTTAATGTGTTACAACAGATTAACAGAATTCAATATTAATACTTAAACATAACGAAATATATTTTCTCATGTATCTTAAATAATTAATTTAAATATTATATTATTTATCCAATTAATTAATATACATATATAATACAAAGGAAAAAAAGAATTTATGTCTAAACAGTAACAATCACACAATTTTGCGAATAATATTAAATGTAAAATGTACAACGTTACAGAATTAGTAAATTATTTGATAACATTTACTAAAAAATATGGAAGCCTTAGCCATTTTTTTCTTAGGAATTTGTTATTATTTATTTGTACTATTTGTAGTAAGATTTATTTTGTATTACTTGCAAAACTTGAAGGTTATAAGATGAGTTTAGAAAAAAATAATTGTTATAACAAACCCATATCTAACGATCAGTGCAAACTGAGCCATTGATAACACTTACTAACAGTTACAAATTGTCACAAACATTGATTTTCTTGCAGTTTACACATTGCTGTTCACTACGCTTTAGCGCTGTCACTAGGCAAAATTTCGATAGCATCGAAGAACGCCATCACGAGATGCAAATAACTGCATCAATGGCACAATATAATCTGTTAAATCTGTCAATAAGATGATCTCTTTCTTACGAGAAGAATTACATAGCTCGAGAACTAACCAAGAGAATCAACGCGCGCTGCCAGTAGCGGCTGTAGACTGACTCAGAAATACATCGGGTAAGTAGAGCTGTGGCTCTTTGTTGGTGTATGTGCAGCATGCGTCTCACACGTTCGCATTTGTTACTTTACAGTAAAACGCACAGTATGGTGGATGTAATGACAGCGTCATATTTTACGCGAATAAAATACAAAATGAGTCTCAATTCGACAACAGTGTTTTTTGACCGTGACAATAAAAAATAACGACCTTCAGAAATACATTATGGATAAAAATCCAGATAAAAATGTGTTAATCTTTGCGCGTGTCGTTGCAACAAAGAGAGCAACGAAATACGACGAGTTATTTTATCTACTTACTTATCTGTTTGAATGGCTTGCGTGCTTTATACAGGCAGTTCTTTCTACAAATTTAATTGTCTTCAAGTTAAAGATAGGGTTATTTATTCATTAAAAAAATTCCGATAATCATTGAAGTGCGCTTATTCTAGAATAATTATTACATAATGATACACATTTTTCAAAAGCATACAAAATTTGCATTTTGGATAAAAATATCTTTTTATAATTAAGAATGGAAATAATTATTCAATACAGTTTTAGTTAAAAAATGTCAACATATTTTTAATTATAATTTTCTAATTAAATCTTAATTCACTTTTTATTATATGTATATCTAATAAATTCTTATCAATTATTCTCGACGAAAGAAAAACTTACCGTTTAATCCTACGAGTTTTTCACGATTATCGATTATTTGTTAAGATACATTTTGTCACCAATTAAAATTACAATTCGATGTATTACTATAATCACGAATTTAACGTTGATCGTCACAGTGCGAGCTGTCGCAACGTACTGACTTTAGGTTCTAAGTGTAATGCATATTTAACGATTAGATGTTTCCTGGCAAAACGTATATCTACAATACTTGTAGATTATATACATGTAATACAATATTTATGATATTTTATCTATATACATTTAATTTGGATATTTTTTGTCATTTTAAAGCTACTTATAAAAAATATAAATAATTACTGATATTATTATTATTAATATTGTTCAAAATTCGACAAAAACTTACTATGGCTTGTATTCATAGTCTATTCTTATTACGAAGATAGTTCTCAAGTTCAATTTTGAGATTCATGTTCTAGATTCATGTCCTTTAATTACGAAATAAGACAGAACTTCGACAAAATCTCAAAACACTGGACTGTACATATACCGGAATGAACAGCTTGTTGACACGAACCAAGAGAGAACCACCTCTGTGGAGTCAGCTGTCGTACTAACACTTTGAATATAATTTTGAAAACGTTATGATTGCTAGTTGTTTGCTAAATTTTGCATGTTTTTCAAAATTTTGTTTGCATATTAATTATTTTTGGCAAAAAGTTGAAATTAAAATTTGAACAGGTATAAACGTCATGTCGTAAAACGACGTAAACCAATCGTAAATCATTTAGAATTACTATTTAGAATAAACTATTTAGAATTTTTATCTCATGAATATTTCAGTGTTAAGAGGTTTGCTAGTCGTTTGCTAGGTTCGTATATTATTCTGATTTTATCGAATTGTAAATTGCCCAATATATTGGCTTAGTTTACATCGATTGTTTAGTACGCGTACCAAGTACTAAATCTGCTTCTCCGATAGGTATAAATCGTTTAGTGTAAAATCTACACCAATCAAAAAAGCTGATTTGGTACTTGGTACTTGGTACGCGTACTAAACAATCGGTGTAAACTAAGCCTTTATTTGTTAATAACTTGTAAATTATCTAGTAACTTTAGTCCTAGTTACTTTTAGGTGACTCGAAGCACATACGCCGATCTTCTTTGTGCCAAGATTCATTCTATATTTTTTGCATCAGTCCATCCTGGTTGAAGTCGAGAATTGAAAAAGACCTTTTCTTACATCTTTTTTTGTGGTTTAATTTTCAACCATTCTTCCTTCGAAAAAGAAATATTGAAATTTATTTTGACCCTTTTATAAACACTTTTAAAAAATTCCATTCTTTATTTCTCTAAATCTTTACAAAGTGAAGTAGTAGTAACTGCGTTCTGTACTTTATAAACAGACCATAAAGTTTATACGTTTTATACGTTCGATTCGTATTATATCGATTGTACATACATACATACTACTCCGCTAAACACAATCAAAAGTTTCGAACTTGACTGTATATACATACATTCGTAGAAGGACAACACACATGACATGTGATTCTCTTTCGGTTCGCGACAAGCGATCAGTGCAATATCACTAGCATGCATATTCTACGCTCCACACACATGCAACGGAGACCACATCCGTGTGCGTTCGATCAGTCGGCTAATAGAAAAGAGCAGACCGTCTTCTCTCTCCGCCGACAGTCGGCTCAATTGTTCCACGTGGCATATTTAATCATTTTTTCATATGCAGCCTACTCATATGCATATAATCAGTAACCAATGTTACAACATATATATATGTAATTAAGATGTTTTGAATAACACATTTTGTAAAAACCAATAAAGCTAAAAAATTATATGTAAAATAATATTTACATTTTATATGTATATATTATTGTATGAAAATAATCTCTGTTAAATTGAATTGTTATTAAAAGTATCGTAGTCTGTAGTAGTATGCAGTATGTATCGTAGTATGTTGAAATTATTTTAAAAAATATATACAGGGTGTTTCATAATGTCCGTGCCAGCGCTCGTGTGCGGGTAGAATGCGGTAAACTGAATAGAAAAGTCCTGTATCATTTTGCAATTTTTGCAATAATAATTGAGATATTAATTAAAAAGGATTGACGAATAATTGCGCGTTGCACGCGGCTAGACCATAGGCTGTACACTCTAGGCGTGACAGCAACGAGGATCACACGGCAACGAAAAATAACAACATGTATTACTCTTGCTCTTGCCATGCGTTGTTATTTTTCGTTGCCATGCGATTCTCATTGCTGTCACGCCTAGAGCGTACAACCTACGATCTAGCCGCGATCAACGCGCGATTATTCGTCAATCCCTTTTAATTAATATTTCAATTACTATTGCAAAAATTGCAAAACGGTAAAGGACTTTTCTATTCAGTTTACCGCACTCTATTCGCACACGAGCGTTGGCACGGACATTATGAAACACCCTGTATATAGACTCGTAAACAATTAACAATATAATAGAGGATTTTCGAGCTCAAGTACGATATTTATTGTTGATTATTTAACACACATTTGCTGATTGCACATTATTGCTGATTATTTAACGCACAATACATTCTTCGTAAATGAAACAATGATAACAATGTTATATATATAATTAAAGTATTTTGATTAACGTATTTTGTGTAAAACCAAGCACGATGTTTGCTGATTATTTAACGCACAATACATTCTTCGTAAATATAATGATAGCAATGTTAACAATGTTAAGAATGTATTGTGCGTTAAATAATCATCAAACATCGTGCTTGATTTTACAAAATACGTTAATCAAAATATCTTAATTATATATATAACATTGTTATCATTGTTTCATTTACGAAGAATGTATTGTGCGTTAAATAATCAGCAATAAACATCGTGCTTGGACTCGAAAATTCTTTATTATATTGTTAATTATTTAAAAAGAGTTACCTTTACGGAATTTCACATTTCAGTTCAGCGAAGTTGGGATAAGAGTGTAGAGTTAGGGTGGATGTATTCCGCAATGTTGATTAATAAATTGATTTACTTAGTTATTCAACAGTGAATGGTTCAACATGGATCATCGGTAGCCTATGTGGCAAAAAATGTTTTCAATAAAACGCACATATTACGAAAGGTATATTTTATTCGTATTATATATATGCGGTACAAATTATATTATAACAATTATGCCAGTACAGATACGTGCACCTCGATGCACTTTATTTTATAAAAGTATATTCGTTATATATATAAAGCGATTCTCCTTTCAATTGATTATTTATCGTTTATTTCATTTAGGCGGATATATATCGTATTATAACAATTATTTCATTCGTTTGAGCACCATAATTTTATTGGTATGATCTATAATTTAACTACCAATTTTTATAAAAATTATTTAAATACGACTCGATATAATTGATGGCGAAATCTTCATCTCTCTGATGAGTAATGAGAACAAAAAATTTATATGTATAGAGAATCGCTTTAAAGTATTGTGTTCCTCTTGCTCGTATTCTTAAAAGTTCTTAACAGTTCCTTTCTGATACTTAGCGATCTAACACTAGAGAAAGAGAGAAAGAGAATTTATTTGCAATAATGCATTATAAATTTTGCACTCGGAGAAAAAGAATTTGCAACGCAACAAATTTTACGCTGTCGTTGCAAAACATATTATAAACATGTTATATGAATAACAAAAATGATTTGTTATGGATGCTAATTTTATTAAAAATTGCATCAAATTTGCAAGTTATATCGTTATTATAACAAATTGATTTTTACTCTACCATTAAAATTTGTATTAGCAGTGACAATTTTTTTGCTGCAATATCAAATAAAATACATTTGTTCGCAATAAATTATTTTGTTGTAGCAGTGAAGTAATGTGTTTTTACGAACAAGTGTATTCAGCACAATTTATCTATTCTAGATTTTGCTGATATACCGAGTCATTTGAAAAATCAGTTATGGCGGCAAAGTTTTGTCGTTATCACAACTAATGTACAATAGTAACAACAATTTCGCTGCGATAAAAAAATTCTTTTTTCCCGTATTATATAATAGACAATAGTAACGAAACACTTGAATAATTTGTTTTCAAAAATTTATGGTTTTGAAAAATACATGGCTGTCAAAAATGTCCATTTTGTTTCATGTACTATTCGTTTACTAATTGTAAATTCAATTTCCTTATCAATTTCTAAATATTATATACATACTAATATTTTTTATATACATTATATATTTTGATACAAATAGAAGATAACGTGGAAAAAATTTATTCATTACATTTGTAAAAATTATAAGCTCTCAGAAGCGCATAAACACTCCTTTCGACATCTATCAAAAGTCTGCTCTGCTTTTATAAAACAATGGCATTTGGTTTTCAACGTACAAAATTAACGTGGCAAGATAAACTCGTGCGCTTATAAATTACTTCAAACATCACTTTGTTTAAAGTTTATTTTAAGAGCACCTGTATGTGTATTTGATTTCTCTGACTCTTTTTTTGCATTATCAAGCTCACAGCCATTAGTAGATAGAATATAGTGGTCAATTTGTGCGAAACACGTTATTTTAATTAAGGCCTCATATTCATTCACGAAAGATAGATATAATCGGGGGTAATTGACAACGATCGTTTTTCTAATAGTTTCCGTGCTTCGCTTTTCTGTCAAATCGCGTATAACGTCACGTCGCGTAATGATTTACGCATGAAAGATCTCTGTAAGACTGACGCGAGTAGTTGATCGCGTTCTAACGAAAATGTTACTGACACAATAAAAAAGGAAGATATATATATATATATATATACACATACGTAGATATGCTATATAGAATAGTACTCTTGAAAACTATGTTACAATCGTAACTACTAGCCGTCATTTTGTATGTTAAACTAAAAATAAAAAATAAGTTATATTAGTACTGTTCCTATAACAATTCAATTCAGCAATCCTAAAGCATTATAAAAAAGTAAATTATACTTCACGGTACTTTTGAGACGTATACTAGTGCTCCTTCAACGGAGAAATAGTTGTCGTCGCGAGAATTCTCACCGAGAAATGCCACGAAAATCCACCGTTCGCACAAGTTTTCTCATTTCGTTGTTATAGCAATAAGTCGAACACAAATCTTCGTATCATCGTTTTCAAATATCATATGAGATTATTGGTTATGCAAATGTTTCTATTAACTGTTGTTACACGGTTTTTATACGGTAGACCGTAACATGTGTTAACACATTCCGTCTATTCGCAACCATCTGATCTCATTATCAAGAATTATACTTAGCGGTCTACCGGGCGTTCTTGATCTTCCAACAAAGGAAGAGATACGCGGCGATTCGCAGCACGACGAATATCAAAAGAAGAGCAAGAATATCGAGGGTGAAATCGGCGTCGAGCATGTCCAATTCCTCCAATGTCGTTTCCGGATTTTTGAAGTGGCAATATACCTGAAAATATGCGAGAATATAATCAGCGTCACCTTTCGTAATTGACGTCTGCGACGAATTGAATGCTGAATGCTAATCCTACCTGGAAACACTTTAATTTCTCTCGACCGAAGCTGTAAATGGTCAAAGCGGTTCCTTCGAAACCGTATCTGATGTAGCTGAGATACGTGATCCATCGTAGGTAGACCGGGATCGCATCGAAACTGACGAAAAATCCTGAGAATAGAAGGAATGGGACTGACATTACCGGCGCCAAGAACACACCGTTCTGAACATTCATTGCAGCGCCGACTACGAGACCCACTGATTGCGCCACGAAGGAAATTAGCAGACAGGTGCTCAAGAACATGCCGTACCGCATCATGTCCGGCGGCTGGCTTGTCAGGAAGTACACGATAGTGACGTACATCACACAAAATATACACTGAAAAATCAAAGTAAAAATAGTCATTTGTTATATCATTTTCATTTATATCACTAGTTGAGAAAGCTTACCTGGAATGGCAGATCCGAAATTGTAATTGCTAAGTAATACGATTTGAGAGAGTACCATCTATTGAAATTTTCTTTTAAAAGTACAGGCAATTCCAGCGGGACTAAAAAATAAGAAAACATACGATATAGAAAAGATATCCGCGAGAATAATTTGTTCCACAATTGTAAGGAATTGATTGATGTGTGTGTGTGTGTAAATTCGACAAACTTACAGGATAGAATAGTGATTGTCATGGAAGTGTACATAAGAAACAGCATGTTGAAAAACAGGAATCCCAGATTGCTAAGTACTTTAGCGCCGTCGTTTCCGATATCGTAGTACAGCGCACTGATTAAGAACGCTACAAGAAGGTGAGCGAAGAGCCGGAGATACATTAGTGTCTAAAAATATTAAAGAATTGGAAATTAGAAGGTCTGGAAATTGAAAACTGCATTATTTGGAATTGGAATAAATATGTCGCGTTTATTCTTCCAAATACGCACCCAATCTCTACGACTGAAGAGCAAAGCACGCTTCAGTATAATATAAAACTGCGAAAATTCGGATGTAGGATATCTCTCCGGCGTCACTATAATCGATTCATCGAGTAGGGCAACATTAGTATTGTCTTTTTTATCGATGTCCACAGATATTGCCACATCTATCGCTGAAATATTCATTGTTTTTATTACTTTCATTATTTTCACGCATAAATTTGCAAATAATTAAATTGTCAATAATTAAATTGAAAAATATAATGGTTAGATGAAAGAGCTGTTTGAAATTTAAATGAACGATAGCTTCATGGATTTTATAACTGTGTGTGCGCGCGCGCGTGTGTAACATCATATGTAACTGCAGGAAATTACGTTAGAGCGAGTCATCTTGCAAGTCACTATTATATCATGTTGCCGTTGTATTAGAAGACATACAAAAAGCGTTATACCTTGCTTAGCAATATCATTCGTAGCGTAGTCGGAGATGAGTTTTCCATTAGTAATGTCGTTCGATTTGTCTTCCGGGAATTTTTCCTCCAAATTACTGACGTCATTCTTATCTTTGATTTTTGCTTTCTCCATGGCGGTGTCGCCATTCTTCAAAATTCCCGTCGAGGCGGTGCAATTGTTCATTCCTTCCTTCGTCTCGGGAAACGGTTGTCCATCGCGTATATCGTACTTGCCGTTGTTTATTGCGTTTACCAAGTTCTTAATATTATCACCGTATTCGCCGCATGACACCTCGATGACTGAAAAATAGATTGGAAATTATACTACAATTATTTGTGATAGAAATCACAAGAAATATTCTCAAATTTGTTATGAATGAAGCTAAACTTTGTAGATTTGATATTTATTAATTCTTTTCGACTCTCTCTGGAATTTTATTTAAAAAATTACTAATTCTAAACTGACATTGTACCTTTGCTAAAAACTACGCGAACATTTGCATCAGCATGTAGTAAAAGAGTTTTTATATCTTCATAGAAAAGAATGCAGACCGGAAAAGTTTAATAAATGTTTTTGTATCGTACTGAGCTTCAAGATAACAATTGTATCGTAAACTGCTGGCAGTAAAAGATTATTTATATTTAACTTACTGAACGACGCCGGGTTGTGATAACTCGGACAATTAAGGCCAATTGTTGCTAAGAAGGGCACTAGTTGTGATGTAGAACCTTGATAAATGCATTGACCTTCGGCTAATGTATAGAGAGCATCAAACATTTCGAAAAGTCTCGCGCTGGGCTGATGAATGGTGCAGATTATCGTTCTACCGCCTCGAGCTAGAGTTTTCAACAACGATATACATTGGAAGCAAGACGAGGAGTCCAGGCCGCTATAAATAATTGCATAAAAACAATTAGTATCGCTGCACCACCATGCTTAAATTCCTTGGCATCTTTTTTTCATTTTTTTGTATGTACTTGTGGTGCCATTAAAAAAAAAGGCAAAACGTTATATTTGTTATCGGGAAATAAACGGAATATAGCAAAAATAAGTACACATTTTTGGGAACACATAAAAATATTTAGATTGGATAAATCTAAGTATCTAAGTATCTGTAGAAAATAGTCATAAAAGTTTATCGTGTTAACAAAGAATTTTCTACCGAGCCATTCTCGAACATTTCCGAGTATTAAGTACAAGTGGCTGTAATTTTTTTTCAGGTTCAAGTTCAAGTATAAACCGGTTGTTAAAAGAGGTGCCGATCTTTCACGTTATAAAGATATTTTATCATCATAAAAAAAACTGACGTTAATGAATCTTGCAGAATGTGTGCACGAGGAAAAAAAAAAATGTCTTGAGGAGATGCATGCTAATAAATGGATTTTGAACTTTGAATGGCATGAAAGTTTTTTGTATCATTATTACAGCCAGATGAGATCATTATCAAGATCGCGATCGTTTTCGATAATCCGTAGAGCGAATTGTTGCAAAAATTTTAACGGTTTCAGTGAAAATTGTTGTAGGAAAAAAAAACGTTCCAAAAACCGGGTATTATTTCTTAATTTTCTCCCGTTATTGCGCTTCTGCATCTTCTCTTGACTGACAATGAGATATTTCGGATGTATGTTCAATATTCGTACACCTAATCTCTTGAGAGATTCAATTTTAATATTAGACCATCAGCGCGCGATCTGTGAAACATGTCTCGATATCATTCCGATAAATATAAAAACTAGCAAGTTAAATTAAACATTGAATTACTTAGTTAATTTTGCGTAAAGGATGTGAAGGTTTTCGTATTATCGTCGTGCATGAGTTACTTCCTAAAACCGTAAATACGGAACGAGGTAGATGTTTGAAAGTTGCAAGGTGAAACTCGGTGGGAGATGCATGACGTTGATTGAAACCAGCAAAATGTCAGAAACGATAAATGCGTTCCGCTGACATTGACCGTGCCAAGATTCGAAGATCAAGGAAATTACCTAAGGACGGATTTCTCTCGTAAATCTCATGTAGAGAAAGTCGAAAGAGATGATAAGTTTTCTCTGAAGTGATTAATCGGAGATCTTTTCAAAGAAAAAATATTTAAAATATCGATGATCGTAATGACGCGTTTCCACTTCTTTTATTTTTTCATTTCCGCCAACACAGTAAATGGTATTTATAAAAGTTATTTTTCGAAAATTAAAATATACCATAAGAAATGGTGCAATTCGTGACAATGATCGATTATTTAGCATTATTTATGCTGACACCTCGATACAATGTTCATACGTTAATTTGCCTTCAATTAATCATATAATTGAATCCTATAATAGCAAATGCAATAATAATGCATGAGATATAAAACTCACCTAGTTGGCTCGTCGAAAAACATTATGGGGGGATTATTCACCAACTCCAAGGCGATGGAAAGTCTTTTTTTCTGACCACCACTCAAGTTTGAGGTCATGGTGTGACGATGTTCCGACAAGCCAAGAGTTTCAAGAATTTCCTGAATCTGCAAAAGAATGTTAATGGAATCGATAGTTTGTACAAATAGCATGTTAAATTGCACATATAAATTGACCTCGATTGAGAATAAAAATAGTACGCAATGTACATATAATGATGTACATATAAGGATGTATGATAAAAAACCGGTTTAATAATTAATTTTGTTTTCGCATAATTAAACATAATGTGTCAATGCAAATCAATATTGCATATAATGAAATGGATTTTAAAGTAACTAATAATTTTTGTCACAGTGACAATAGTAGAAATATAACGATGAGTCCCACAACTAGCTAGTAATAGATAATAATACATAGCACGAATACGAAAGAAAAACAATTACAGATCCAACTGTAATACTCATATTATAAAATTTGTTTTTCGCTTATTTAATGAGATACAAGAATTTTAGCTTACCACTTCATCCTTCTCCGTTTTGTTAACTTGTGAGCTAAGCTTAAGATTTGCTGCAACTTTCATAGCTTCTGCTACCGTTAGATTCGCGTGAAGCTGATTATCTTGCATGATGTAGCATGATATCTTCCTAAAGGCACTGAGGTCTCTCTCGGTACCATTTATCGTAATGCTGCCCTCCGTACCTGACGTTCTGATGTAAAAAATTGTTATTAGTTTCAACTCGGTAATATAATCTCTTATGATTATACGCTTGCTCGCAGTAGTACATTTTTGCTTTTAATATTCAATTTTAAAGTTGAATATTTTCTTATAAAAACAATTTACGCTAGAAGAGGAAATTAATAATTTTTGAGAAATATCTAGGTTGTCTTATTAGGAGCTTAAAGATGTTTTATTAGTATAAAACATAAAATACTTGCTAAAAAATTAGCCAAAAAAACTAATCGTAAATGCTCCGTCAACATATTTCCTGCTTAAAAATACAATAATAATTTGTTTAATAATTTATAAATTTTTTTTCGCTGTACAGAAAGATGTATTCAATGTCAAATCGCTCTACGTGTTGTAAGCATTCTCGATCATGGATGTGCGAAACTTGATACTGCACCTGCAAATACCAGTTTGACTATGAAACCGGTTTGGAAAATGCGATGTGGAAAAAAACCGCGCAAGAAGTGAAATATCTGTTACACGGCATACCAGAAATCGCATCATTCTCAAACGGATTGCGTTTTAAATCGTGTCATTGCAAATATATTACGAAGAAACGTGAAAAAAAAGAATAATTTTGAGATATAATTGATAGTCGAAATTGATAAATTAAAAGTATTCGAAAAACATTTCTACTATCTAATTGATTTATTTATGACGGTTGTGTACAGTTATGCATATTATATCGTTTTTTAAATAACTAAATTATATACAAAATATGTGCATTCTGTGAATATTTCATTTATGAACTATTGAATTTATTTTGATTATTTTTAGCGTTGCTGTTGACTGTGTTAATACAAAACAACTAATGTTTAAAATCAGTTTGCAATCTGAAAGTTTCTCAGTAAAGTGTCAATCACACCTTTGTATGTATATTATAAAGGCAAAGGTAACATAATGAAAATACTGGTTTTTCTTGCACAATTTAGCCTTATACTCTATGTAAAAAGTAGAGCGGAAACAAGAACGGGCCTTGACATCAGAAGTAACCTCTTCGATTCATATGCAAATAAAAATAAAATTTTAACACATAGAGGGTATAGCAAACTGCTGATTAAACAATATTTTATTGAAACACTCGTAGAGACGCATTTCAAAACACAGCTAACTATTTCTTCGTCAAGCAAGTCGGAAATTTGTTAGTTTGTAAAAATAATTATACGCGCAGTATATATTATTTACGATTAACGAGGAAAATTACATTTTTTTAAAAGAAATAAAATAACCCTGTTCCAGTTTTTGTTACAATCGGATTTAATCTGTAGCAAATATCTTTTAAGATCTACATTCTTTCAAGATCCTTGAAAGACTTATACAGCGTTTCGCAAAGCAAAACGTTTTACTCTGATTTACCAACTGAAGTACAAGGTTGAAATAGAAAGCCTACATCAAATCTGTTCTGTCGTAGCTAGTTTTAAAATAGTTTTAAATATTCTTACAGTGATTTTTATATATTATGTGACTGAAGTTTTACAGGAGCGAAAGTATGACAATTTAATGTGTAACATACATGAATATTTCTATCACGGGGATACAATATTCGATTTATTATTTGTGTAACCTTCGTAATATTATTAGAATGTTCTTGTCAGGAGGAATTTCGTAACGAGACGCGAAGAAAGTGAGATTATATTTCGAAGAAAGTGAGACTATATTTCGAAGAAAGTGAGACTATATTTCGAAGAAAGTAAGATCATAGTATAATAAAGAAAGCGAAACGAGTCGCTTGTATAAAAACTGAAAGTACACTCGAGGTTACACCGAGAGATTACGATAAAATCTTTCCACAGCAGCAGGTTTATGGTGACATATGCATACGCTTGCGAGTGATGCGAGTATAAATGTGCGGATGTCTATTGCAAATTTTAAAGTTGAAGTGCCAATTTTCATAAAGAAAAAGAGAAAACGTAGGTACGAATATTTTGCATTCTATTCTCTGATCGCCTGTGCCTTTTCTAATGCGTATGTCACGTTTATTTATTGATGAATAGGTGACAGACGAAAATTACATCTAATACTTGACGTTTCGACTAATTTCCGACGTGAGGCTCCGTAAAAAGCGAGGTTTGATGAAATGTTTTTCTGCGAAAATATTGTTGGGAAAAGATGCGTGAACAGTTTTATTTTGTGAGATTGCATGAAAAGATTATTTGAATTTTGACCGCGTAAATATTTGTCTCGCAAAATAACTTTTTAGAGATTTCAAGATCGATAAATAATACAATTAAAGACAAATAAGAAGGTAAACAGCGTAATTAAATTACAACGTGCAAAATTATTTGAGTAAATAATTTAAATAAAATATTTCTTTTTATTGTAATTTTCTTTTTAACAAAACAGATTTAATGGGCAATATGGAGAAGTAATTAGAATGATATTGTACATAGGAATATTTGTGAATGAGTCATGAAATATTATCAACTATAACCAATCAGAGATGGAAAATAAACAAATGGACTTTTACCGGCTACTACTATCAACTTATCTGTAAATGTACATGTGTAAATATAGCAGTGCAAAGCAGTACACGTGTAGCAAAACAGTTGTAGCGTAAGCTAATATTACGATATTAAATGACAAAGTATGCAAGTTTCATTCTCGTTTAATTTGCGCAATTTACATTTCATCAAAACGTTAAACGCGCGTGAAAAGCACAAACATTCCTCCTGGAATACTACTTTAACGTTTAACATTAAATTTTTTCTTTAATCAGCAACGTATGGTAAAAGACTACATTGTGAAAGTTGCACGTATACGTTGACTCACTTGTATCCGGTGAGAATATTTAAGAGCGTCGACTTTCCCGCGCCAGAAGGGCCCATAATAGCCGTCAGCTCGCTGGACCGCAGCCTGCCACTGACGGATTTCAGAATTGTTTTTACATCTGAAAATAGAATAATATAACTTGAAAGACAATAGAAAATAGAACTTGAAATCTATGTAGGGGCTGAACAGAAATGTTTCTTTTATGTATATTTATTATAACATTCTGACAACTGATGTGAGATTATTGAAACTTAGGTTAAATAATCTTATCTTGTAAAAATCATTTAATTTACATTTACAATGGCAAGCTAATAGTATGTTGATGATATTCTCGATCAACATTTACCGATTAGTCAGAATTCGTTAAAGCAACATTTTTTCCTATGATTTTCAAAGATACAAAAATCAGAGATGTATCGTGCATTATTAAGTTATAATTGCTAATATCAATGTTGCTAATGATGTATAAGTATCTCTGTTTTTTTGTGATGGGCATTACGAATGCATAACTCGAGATAGCAGCCAAAGAAAACAGGACAAAGTTCAGGACTAATAAGCACGCTATATTGCGTTTCGTACAGTGAATCTGTGATTCATGCGCAGAGGCCGGAAGAGCGATTCAATTAATGAGTCTGGTTGCAATGTGAAAAGCTAAATTATGACGTCATTTCATTTATTAACTGAACCTCAGTCGTTAAGTAATGTAATTAAAAGAAAAGATCAAGAGTGTTCTGAATAATAATTAAATAAAAGTGGACTGCATCCACTTATATAATTTTTATTCATATTAATTGCAGAAGATTTAAATGTTCGATAAATTCATCAGATGTAGTTTCTATGTATTTTATATTTCAATAGATTAGAAAATTAGAGACATATCTTATCCTTATTTTCTTATCCTATTTTATTTTACGTGTTATTACTACTAAAAATATATATGTGACCTACTTGATTAAATATACAGAATTTTAATTATTTAGCAACATTAGAATATACAAAATTTTTCATGTGTTTTTATAAATGCTTTAGATTTAAATTTCAGTACATTACATGGAAAAAAAATTTCACGCATTGAGGTACTTGCGAATAAATATTTTGCATCGTGTCAAATACAAAAATACTTTTTTTTAATTTTAAAGCGTCACAAGCAATTTATTATTAGTATATTTTTAATAAAACATAAAAAAATAATAGTATTTATTTTTATTCACGTATATACGTTCTACATTAGTGTTGTTTTGTTATAAGACTGTAGCGTTACATACGCACGTAAAGTGGCAATTCAGCATTCTTTGACGAAGATAAATATCATTGTTGTCACGTTCGTCAGTCATAAGAAAGCCTGACCACCTGTCCGCTAGGTGTACAAATATTTGTGAACCGCACGTGAAGATGCATAAAATGATACAATAAAACTTCGATTTTCAACTCAAGGTAAACCGGTTTCGATCCATTTTATATAAACACATACGCATAGAATGCACATGCAACTTTTAAGACATAAATTGACTAATAAAACAGCGATAATTATTAATGTACTAAATTAATGAGAAAGCTTAAAGTATCGATATCGTCATTTCGTTTATTATTCATAAATGCGGATATCTTTTATATAATCGATTTTTTTACTATACGACAAAAAAATATATGAATAGCATACGACATATTAAACGTAAAGATAATTAGAAATAATTTAATTAAAGTAAAACAATCATTTTTTTATTACTTTATTATTAAAATGTTTCAATTTAGCTCGGTTCTCTATTGCGCAGTTCTGTCACATAATGTTTCGATGACTATTACTTCTTGATGATGATCGAAAGAAACAATATAAATATCCACGCTTATAACAATCGTGTCGTTAATTGCATTGTGTGCTATTGATTGACCAACGTACGCAGAATGTAATATTACAGACCACACGTGAACGATCCTTTAACTCGGATTTACGCGTGTAGAAAGAGAGAGGCGAATCAAGATTGTTAATTTCGAGCCTAGAAGAGGCTGCGAATTGCGCAAACTATGAATTGCAAAAATTTCGCTATGGCATACATAGTGGCTTACGGCGGTTAAATTACGGTTGCTCATGCTAAATGCACGATTCATTTGTGTTAGTGTATACGAATGTGCCTCTGTGCACGTGTAAATAAAGGAAGCAAGAGCGCGAGACGGAGAGAAAGAGAAAGGGAAAGAGACAGACCGAGTAAGAGAGAGAATCACACGGAGAGGCCTCAAAATCTAACTACTCGTCTAAGTCTTGTTTTTATGAGGCCATATCGCACTTTCTTCATTTCATTTTGCAATCGTCGGAATAGACTAGCGCAACATTGCTCCACACCGTATCGAGGTGTTGCAGCATAATCTCTCGAATGTTAGCCCAACATGGTACTATTTGCTGTAGTAATCATATATTTGAAGTGCTTCGTTCACTTACAATAATTTTGACATAAAATTTACGACATTTGGAGAAATCTCCGACACGCGAAATTGTTTTTTACAGCACCTCCGTTGGTTTTCGAGAGTTACAATCTTACGAAATCTTACGAAATTCTAAAGTAAAATTTCATAAAATTGTTATCTTTATCTGAAATCCGTATCGAAACACATAAACATTAATATAACATGACAACTTGAATTTCCTAAAAGCGAAAATAAAACGTAGCGAGGTAAATCAAGGAAAGATACATATTCAGCGATATGCTTGTGGTGGTTAGAATTTTTCCGTTATTGATAAACATTTTTAAAGATTACAAGAGAAATGAATTGCGAGCAAGGATATTTAACAAGAGCGATATCTTGTGCTTGATAATTTATGTATCGCAGTTTAACACGTGGATATCACGTTGATAGAACAGTGAAATTTTCATTGAAATTTCAATAATGGAAAAAGTGACAACTGATTGCAAATAACAAAGAAAATAAAGAGAAGCAACAAAAAATACCGACAATAAAATATAAAATTACTGTTGGATGAAGCGCAACTTTGTTGTTTCTTGCGCACAGTATAGCATTTGGTCACGCGAGCGTAATGTAGGTCATACCCTAATTAGATAACACATTTCGTTCTTTAAACTAATAAAAAACACAATCGAGATAGTTCCATTCCTTTCACATGACAGAACACGAAATTGAGAAGTGTGATTCAAAATGTAACTTGAGTTTTCTATTATCTACACTGGTATTTAGCAGTGTGGCACATCACTGTATTTTTTTTCACCAAAATTTGTAGAGTTCGGTCAAGTGATGTGCTCACAAACAAGCGTGATTCAATTAAACACATTGTTTGCCAGAGATTACATTCCTCTTATATTCCTTTTATTTTTGAAGATAAATCGAGCCAAATTTGTCGATGCTTGAAAAATATATCATTTTGTTATCGACGGCAGTCTTTATATGATTTTTGATAAGGATTTTCTCTGATAACTCGGTTGTTAAAGCTTGAGCATTCTTGCGCATCCATCAATGTAAACCTATAACGTATCACGTGATAAGAATTACCTAATATATTGAAGCATTATTCAATTATGCTCGGCTGGACAATATTAATCTGCGTTTCCTAAGTCCCTCAAGCGAACAGTACGGGCTTTTTGCAACGTGTTATGCATTCTTAAACGAATCGAATATTAAATATCAATTGTGAAAGCATCCGGGCGATCGTAAATTACTGAAAAATATCAAAAGTGATGTCTATCATTAACGAAATAGAAAAAAAATTCTTGCGTAATTATCATTGGCGAGAAGACGAGATTATTACGAGACATCTGCAAAATAGTAACATATTTCAGGATAGTGCTGTATCCTGGATTACGATACTATACATTAAGATCAATCAAAGTTGACTTCCAACTCTCTAAAAGTAATACGATACCGATGCTATTCAAAGTATCGCACGAACGTATTTTATATATATTTTATCAACATTAAAATATCCTCGCAAGTTATTTTATATAACATTCTAAGATTTGTTAAAAAGATTTAATATAATTTATTCGTTGTTGGCTCATACTCGAAACTAATGATAACTCAAATCAGTATTTAAAGTGGATTCGTAGGCGAAACCGGAATTTTATCGTAGCCAGCTGTTGTAAATGGTACACTTCGTGCGCGATAAGAAAAAACAAGATTACTATACCCCCCTATATATATATATATATATATATATTTACACGTTGATTCAAGTGTGGATTTAGCAAGAGAGAAGTGTAATCTGCTACTTTATTTTAGAAATCTCTTAAATATTTGAAAAAGATTGTGAGTGTGTACTCTAGTCTATGCTTGCATTCAATAAAATTTACATCTTTCTCTTTTCTTGAGTTCAAGGTTTATATCGTTGACATAATCAACGTAGAATATCTCGTTTGAAAGATTATGTCACAATCCATACTGCAAAATTGCGGTCACTAATGCCAAGAACCTTTACACTCCAAGAACAACCGTAATTCAAATTCTTGAACGAATACTCGAAGGAATATATGTGCTGCTCACGCTGCTTACAAATAAAAAATAAAGTGAATCACGAAGTAAGAACGTAAAGGCAATAACGACAATGTCACGAAATTACACAAATTGCTGTGGAGTTTCGATAATGGCAGACTATGATCCAATTAGTTTTCTTACTTCATTGAGATTTGAAATATCATCTGCAATAATCGATTTATTGCGAAAGTATTCCCTTGCGAACTATAAAAGGAAATAAAATGAAAATGCGTCATGTTTAGAAATAGCTTAGAAACAATCGAAACATACGATGCAGTCTGTACGCGTATATCATAAGCTATACAGTCATCACGGAGTGTGAAATGTCATAACACAAATAGTCTAACCGCAATAGTAAGGAAATTATAAATATAAAATCGATTGGATGGTGCGCAATATGACTTCCTTATACTATTATTAACTTATCGATCTAGTGTATAGCAATGCTGTGACGCTAGATGCAACAGGTGCGATTACTAGTTTTTATCTCGATTATTTATAGCAATATTTGCGCGTCAGAAAGTCTGAGAAACGTTTATATACGAGAAATAGGCGAGTTGTCCATTCTCTGTATTCCAGCAGCATTGAGCAGCGCGCTATCTCTCGCGCGCGTATAGTTCATATTATATTTTGATAAACGCGCGGGAATGTATATTCACGAAGAGCACGTTGTGTCGAGCTGTGCGGAGCCACTGTAGTATCTCAAGCGGATAATGTATTTCTCCGATACAATTGGTACTTTCACTCGGTGGTCAATGTCATCGGAAACAAGTTTACGACTGTCTATCTCGCGTGGCATCGACCCACGTTTCCGTCAGTTAAAAGCTGGTTTTTTGCACGCGAAGGCTGTGCAAAAAAAAAATTATGTAAGATACTTCGGAAATTTTGTTGTTGGTGTGCGTGCGTGTGCGTACAAAGGACATAAAACAACTTGGATCACTCTTAAATACCGAAATCAAATGTACTAAAAATACTTTACATACATGATAAAATTAAGTATGACCGGTCGCAATTTTATCTTTGCGAAGTTTTCAAATTGTTGATATATTTTGTCTTTTTATAATGCGGAAAAAAAGAAATATGCAGTTGATTTTTTTTACATAAAAGATTAAGATTGTGTTATGTAGAACAAATTTCCGGTAGAAAAAAAGATATTCGATTGTAAGAATAATTGCTGCTTGCAATTAACAGCATTCATAAAAAATTGCGAAATAAGGCTCTTTCTCTCTCTGTTTCTCTCTCTCTTTTTCTCTGGCGTTTCTGATTATAATTATCCAACAATGAGTCATTATACTTGAACGCTCAATGGCATGCTACTGTTTGGAATTAAAATTCCCTATACATGTGAACCGCCATGTGGAATAATAATATAACTTAGTAAAATAATAATTTTAACATTTACTTGATTCCATGCGTAATGATTTTGACGCAATAAAAATTTGAATAAATTTGCTTTTTATGTGTGTGGAATTATATATATATATATATATATATATATATATATATATATATATATATATATATATAAGTGAATTTAAATGAAATATTCTCTAAAGTATTTTTATTAATTTTGTGTTTTAGTTTACACGCAATTTTCAAGTGTGTGTGTGTGTGAAGCTGACGCGTTATTTCATAGAAACTCATAAATAATTAGGAGTTCTGGCTTTATTCTCAATAATAGTTCTAAAATTCTTCATAGTTTAAGCAAATAATTCTGTGACCATTAAACCGACGAAAATGCTTCAGGACGAACTGAGACGCCAACTTCATGCAGCGTCTCACTTTATCCTATGACATTTTTGTTTATTAATCAGAACTATTTGTTTAAATTATCAAGAACTCTAGAACTGCTGAGAATAAAGCCAGAACTCTTAATTATTAATGAGTTTCTACGAAATGATACGCCAGCTTCACACACACACACACACACACACACACACACACAATTTTTAATTCTGATAATCATCGATCCTTCAAGGATGTGAAGTAATTTAAGACGAAGTCTACAGTGGGTGGAACAAATTGCAATTCCCTAACTGCTGAGTACAATTATATATTCATTACTTATACATGTACATAATTATGGTGACACTTAAATGCAATGGAAGCAATAGTCACAGTTTTTATATCAATTCAAAATACTTATTAAAATATTGAAACATTTGTATCCAATATTATATGAGAATGTTGAATATGATTGGAAATCTTGCTACTTGTAATTGAGAAAATTATCGCGCGGAAGTAGATAATATATGCTAACGCGAGATTTGCAAGAAATAGGAGTGTTTTTTAACATTCAATAGGAAGTTATTAAATTTTCATTATAAAAAAATGTTTATCGAGCAATTATAATAATTATACAGTGAGAGCTTAAGTGAACGCGAAATCTTTTTTTCAAAATGGCTTTGCCATTTGTGTTGGATTCGCGCAAAAGTAACGCGCGGAGAGAAAATGCAGTTCAAGGGCGGAGTGCTCACATACCGTACGATTTGCGACATGCTCTTTGAGTTTTTTGCTGCTTTTTTTTCTACACTACTGCATTATATTCAGTATCACAATATGCTATCACATCTGATTAGTATTAGATCGACAGGATATTGATGTTACGTTAGCTCCGATCGTTCGGCTCTTTCTTCTTGTAATTTCGACTTACTCAATCAAAGTCTGTCCAATTATCGCAAATCTGAGATATGTTAGTTGCACATACTAAGGGAATTATGAAAGTTTGAAAGATTCAAAGTATTCAGAAAAACCTCGTTAAATTGCGACAGAATGTCGTCAATTAACATCTTATCTATGATTCAATGATATGCATTACGTATAAAAAACCTATTTTAACATTTTATGCATGAGAGATAATTGAGAGGTATAAGCGAATTTCATGTTTAATTAATCGCCTGTAGCGCAAAGCAAAGCAGCAAAACGAAGAGTCATCTCGATTCTTTAAATGTCGATGCAATGAAAAATGCACGACAGCGCAACGTCGGCATTATAAGAATATATATATATGTGTGTGTGTGTGTGTGTGTATCGCTCATTAAGAAGTGACGTAACTTTTTATGAAGAAAAACCTCAGACTTTAAAGTTCATTAGAATTTTTCACCGAAAGTGACATCGCAAAGTAATACATTGTATCTTTCTGCGTATTAAATCATAAAATACGAATGCTTTAATGTATGCATGATGTAAAACAAAAATTCCAAAAAAGTATTAACAAAATCCAATTACTACGAGTCTCTGAGTCAGAAACAGTCGATACTTAAAGACAATTGTTAAATTATAAGTAATCCGCAGTGATGAAATAAAAAATGAATAAGTTATCAAAAACAACGTAATAAAAGCACGTTACAGATACTATTAATTTTAATTTTATTTTTTATTAGGGTTGAGACGAGTCTTAAGGTCATGTTGACAACAAATAAATAAATAAAATAAATAAATGTCTATTGCTAAAATATATATATATTTGAAATAAACGAAAAAAGAGATAAGAGATAAAAATTACAGGAAGGAAGGCAAGTGGTAATCTCAAAGTTTTTGAGACATGACCGATCGGTTACACGATTTTTCACTTCGTGGAAAAACCGAAGAAACCCACGAAGATTTCCGCTGCTCGTAGTCGATATTTTATCCTCTTTATTTTATCGTTATTTTATCCTCTTATCTAAACTGAACAATTACCCGGGCGACAATTATCCGGACAATTCGACAAGCCTCATACTGTTTTTATCGCTTGTATTGTTCATTGCTTATTTATCCCGTCGAACGTTCGCGAAGCATACGACAATTTCTCCGATATTTACGCTTATATTGAAAAAAAATTCACGTTGTGGTACATTTTTTCAATTTTAACTTTCACCTTCATCTACCTATCCTTTCAATTATAATCGAAAGTGAAAAAAAATGGCGTACATTCGACTTGTATACTGATTGGAAGACAGATTTTGTACTGATCGCGCATTAAAATGTCGGATTAAAATATTAAGTAGAAAGTGCACTTACTATTTTTGCGGCCTTCTCGAACTTTATATGTGAGGTCAGTAAACGCCAAGTCGACCGGTGGCCTCTTTGGTAGATGCGTGATCGTCTTCGGCTGCGCCGCGACGATCTGCAGCCGCACCGCCGAGCTCTTCCTAGGTTGCAATAAAATTCCATTGGTGTCATCCTCCGTCGAGCAGTTTCCCTCAAGCTTCATCTTTCAATGTGATTGTGTACTTTCGTTTTCTCGAAATCCGAGATTTATTTAGATGCACACGTATCCGTCGCTACGTTTCGAAATTGACGGGAGTAACACGCGAGAATTCCGTGTTCCACGATATTTATCACTGCCTGCAATATCATTTGCGCTCATATAATGCAATGTACATCGCCTTTTAACTCTAACATATTTAAAAATTGTAAATATAATCTTTAATTTTGGAGTAGGTTCAATTTGATAGCAAATTTATTCATGCAAGAGTCTCAATATTGCGAACGAATAAATTATTTTGATAAGTATTTTTACTATAAAATAATTGCTTTACTTTTTATTCAAGAAAAAGTCTTAGCTGTTTTCTCTTTCTATTATATCACATTTTTTATATCTTTATCCATTATACCGCATCTTTTTAGTTTATCACTTTAATAATTCATACTATGTCCTTGGAAAGTTACAAAAAATATAAAAATTTGAAGAAATTGTAATCAAAAGAAAACAGGAAAGCTTACATTTATACAGCTCGTATACTTATATGTGTATAAATGTTATTTTACTGTTTATCAAGTGTAAGTACACACGTCTGCGATATCGGCACTGGCATCACATTCATAATCAACGATGCAAAGTACGAAACGTGATTTATCGCGATAATATAGTATGCATTTTATAACGCGCCTTAATCTGTTATTAAATTCAATAAAAACTTGTCCGATCGACATTTCAATTGTTAAAATATTATATACAAAAACTGTAAATATAATTAAATATAATTGCACATAAAACAATATATAATATGAAATATTAAATATACGCGGAGAAAATGCAAATATCATAAAACGCAAAATACTAGTAAGTAAAAAAATGCATACTGTGAACTGATTTGCAAATGTAATTGGTATTGTTTTTATCAAATCGAGCAAATAGTTTCTAATCGACTGTATTGATCGTTATCATTGCACATTGCTCACTTAACTTTTTCATCGTATAAACGTTCAGTTCCGGTATTAACTCCACATGATACAGAAATGCCGATTATATGAAGTGCGCACTTTTGCCAGTGTTAACATCGTTTTACCGAACGTGCTTACTTTCGATAAAAGCACATTTGCATATTTTTCAGACAACAATTTTCTAAGAGTATTAAAAAAATAAATTTTTTTTCAGTAAGATTTTTCCTTCTTACAAATCCAATATCAAAAGTTATCTTAAAAATGTTGTTTTGAAATATCTCTTTTCAAGGAAAGAGCCATGTTAATGCACTGATTCTTACATTGCACGGTGCCGCGCGCTCAATTTCACGATACTTCTTCGAGGAAACTTTTCCGGACACTAAGCTAGTTAGTCTTGAAGTGCAGCGAAGCGCATCTCGAGCTGAAGCGTATCCTGCTCTGAAGCGTAGGAAATCGACAATGACGAGCACGACGTTTGATCCGCACTGCTGCACGTGTCGCGATGCACTCCCGAGTATGCGCAACGCGTCGCGGCTTTTAGGAGCACCGGTCTGTACTCCGATAACAAAGTCTACGGTAGGAAAAACCGGTGGGGAAACAAAGAAGGCGTCTAATACCTCCCCTCTACGATACACTCGCCGTGACGGCTCGAGACTAACTGATTGTGAGTTAAAAGCCGCGCGGCTGTATCGCGGCTGTCGCCATTGACCGTCATCGTTGCATCTTTTTTTGTCTCGCTCCCTTCTTTCTCTCTGTAGTTTTCCCTCCCTTTTCACACGCCGTGCAACCAAGAAACAAAGCACTCATGGTGCCGTGAGAACAATGGTATTCTTAAACCAATGCTTTTGTTGGGAGAGAACACAAATAACTATCGTTGATAATTTTAGAAAATTCTGAGAGACTTTATCATGTTTTTTAATTTTCGAGATCAATGTTACACTTTAATAATGTCTCTAGTAGACGAATTAAATTTCTATATGAAAAATATTAATAATTCTCGCACCAACGTCCAGCGATGGCTCGAGATGCCTTTTAATATGTATAAATTTGATATTATATCATACGAGCCTATTCCTTATATCTTATAATTCTTTTAATTTTATTACAATTTTTTTCTCACAATTTATTATCTTGATTAAAGATTCAGATGTATACATATGCATATATATAGATGTGATTATTATCGATAATTTCTTGTTCGCATAATGAGTATTATATTAATAGAATAAAAGTATTGTATTTTTGTGTGTATGTATTAAAAAGCTAACTAACATCGTTTGACGATAGACACAATAATTCGTTGACTAGACGCGTTCGTTAGTTAGAGCGACAGTTCGGATCGAAAAATTCTCCCGCGATTCGTGTAAAGCGCATTGTCTTGATTTCGAAAAGAAACTTATATCAAAATGCAAACAAACTTTTAAAATCTAAACTTGCAAAAATAATTTATGAAAAGTCTCTGAAATTACCTCTTGTAACTTTAACTAGGTGACATTTTTAACGAACGTTTTCTTTAAATAAATATTAATAAAGTAAAGATAAAATTTTGCAAGTTATCACTCATAAACTGCGATAAATGATCAGTAAAATACGGTTATTATGAATTATTCAAAGATTTTTTCATATATTGACATAAATATATAAGAATTTATTAAATTTTATAAACTTATAAATTATTTATAAACTTTATAAATTATTTATTAAAAATTTATAAACGACGATAGATTAACAATAGCAAAATTCTTTATATAAAAACGGTAGGATTACACTAGGAAAAATATTTCGTTGAAGAAGTCAAATATTTGATTGAAATATGTCCAAACTATTTAAATAATTATCCTAAACAAATGTCTTTGTTATATCAATAATTTTTTCTTATTAATTTAATGTTTTCAAACATCAAATGTTTAACTATTATGCATCTTTCATAATATAAAACAACATATTTGGTTGCTATAAAGAAAGGCCTCAACAATTTTGCCAAAAACACTAAATTTTTTTCCAAATGTCATATCCTCATGGAGCAATATATTATCATTAGCGATAATATCGCTAATAAAATAGCGATATATCAGCGATGGAAGAATAAATGTAATATTAATGAATCGATCGCCTTATACGCGCCTTATGTGGATTGTGTACGTGTTAAATTAAAAACAAAGATACCAACCAGTTTGAAAACGTATTCTCCTTTGACGTCAATCGACACTGATGTACTCTATACAAGTATACGATCGCCGGAAGATCCTTGGTTAAACATTGATTATAAATCAGCATGGTTTGGGAGTGAAATTGTATTTTACGTTACAGGCACGTTTGTGTGCGTTCATTAAATGCAATTTATATTTTTCGCGCGTTCGGCCAGACCAATAAAGCCGTTATAGTCGGCCTTACAAGTTTCAACACATTTATAACTACGTCTTATTATACTAATTGTGAGTTGCAAAAAATATAAAAAAAAAAATATGACAATGAAAAAAATTTTGTTTATTTTAGATGTTAAAGGAATATAAAAATAACCCATAAAACATAGTAAAAAGATTAAAAGATTATTCGAGGAGCAATTTGTGAGAATATTTTCAGTATTGTCATTGCAAAAAAAATCGCTGATTAAATCGATAATTAAATTTTTCTACGAATGAACAAAAACACGATATAAAACATCGCAAAAAATGATTGAATGTGATTGAATATAAATTGTGCATACATTTATGCATTATTTTCAAAGTTATATATTGCCGAAAGGCATCGCTACGTTTATAAATGATGCATCTAAAAATCTGCAATCTTGCGTTTTTTTCATCGTTGTTTTTATATGCACATGTAAAGCGATTTGGCATAAAATGGATGGTATCGCGGTCCATGTCATGCTTAATTTTCGCAAAACATTCGAGAAAACATTCGCAAACCGAAATAAGTACCGATGGAATATATCGTTTATTGCATATAATTCAATGGCACTTTTATTATCTATTCAATGGTCTCGTTTATATAACTGAGAGTATCACTACGCAATAGGAATTATAAGCTTTTATTTCTTCTTCTCACAAAAATATTGCAGTCATAGACAATGCAATCGACTTTCCATTTCGATTTACGAAAACAAAATTTTTATTTGGAAGAAAAAAAATGAAAATAGATACGTGGCAAGTTTACAAACTTGCCGTGATATAAATAGAGATTCTAAACGCGATATTGTGAACGTGATTCTTTTTTAAACAGTAGTTTGTTCTCACCGGAAATCATGCAACATAATTATACACGGAAAAGTATAAAAGATTACAAGATACAAGATCACAACCCGCGAAGAAAACTGAATTATTGCAGTAAATTGTAGCATAAACAAAATGCAATTTTCTTCCTGTTTCCTGAAAAACAGCTTTAGAACCATAGATTGCGCAATAATTTTAAAAAGCGAAAAGAGAACAAAGGAGAGATTTTACAATATAAATGCTGACGGGACGGTATCTATTGTTATATCTGTGCAATTAATTTTCACCGTAATTATATATGATTAAATGCGCATTACTGTTGGAAATACATTTATTAAATTTATTAGAAGTTTTGAGAAATTTTCTCGATCGTGTCTTATCTAAAAGAAATATTATTCCAAGTGATTTTAAAGCAAAATATTTTCTAATGAGAGTATAAGTAAAATATCAATATCGCAACGTGGAGATTATTACTAGTTGCTGCATATCAAAGTGCTCCTCAGAAGACGATAAGAAATTTATAAGTTTACGAATTTCGCACATAAACGCATGCTTATAAACGGCGTTTTATTAGCAAATAGATCGAAGTTCATGCTAACTTTATCATCATCTGTCTACCGATTCATATCAAATGGAACGAAGAAATTTATTTTTACACGCGAAAAAGTGTTTAATACGAGCGAGGAATACGAGCTAAAATGTCCGAGCGGAGTTACAGCTGACTATCGCGATAAAGTGTGTCATTTTACGAATGAACAAGCAGCCGATGTAAAGTCGCTTACACAATAAGAAGCGCAAAGTCCGTTTGAACAAATCACGCATGAGTGTGATAACAGTGTGGCAGTGACGAGCAAATTTAGCTAGCGTTATTAGTCGACCGTGAATCGACTTGCGCTCTTTGTTCCCGCTCGATATCAGCGATGGCGCGTTAACTAAAAATTATATCTTCTGCCGATATACATATGTATATATTCTGACTGAAGAAATATTATTACTAGATGAACTTTATATTTCGATGAGCAAATTCACAGATAAATTGCGTGAGAGAGAGAGAGAAGATAGTAAAATAACAATGTTGATAAACTAAGAAAAAAGCTTGATACTCGAGATTTACAATATAAGACGTTATACATTTAATCGTAAGACGGATGTTTGTGACACATGTATATTTCCATTCCGTAGATTATTGCAATTATGCAAATCAGTAATTATAAATAGTTATGTAGTTTACAGGTGAGCTCAAAAAAAGAAATAATCTCTAATGATTTATCGGTGTACATTCGGCAGAATCTTAGAAAGGAAACTCCACGTTTATCCACATTGACCTCTAGCACGAACCGGTTTGCACGAACGGTGGATATAAACGAAAAAGAAGTCTTTCCATCTTTTTTACGGAAAAACAGAGTTACGAATGTAGACGGAAGGGAAAAAATTTTTGCAACCATGTGGCAAGATCAAATGGTTTTACACGGAAAAATGGTTTCACTAGGAAAAATATTTAGTCCGAGAAACGAAATTTTTGTTACGGTGACAAAAATATTTGGTTGAAATATGCCTAACCAAATATTGATAAAACAAGTTTTATTAATTTAAACAAAAATGTTTTGTTGTATCAATTTTGCTTCATTAATTTAACTAATTTGTTATATGTAATATTAACCTTAACACAGTAAGAAATGATAAGTTGAGAAATATATTAGACGTATATTAGATATGCAATTTCGTTGAATATTTTCTAACAATTAAATTATTTGATCAAGACAACAAAATGTAAAAATTATTTTAGCAAAAATAACTAAATCTTTTAAATTATGAAACAAAATATTTGGTTGTTATAAACAAAAGCTTCAACTATAAAATTTTGTTAAAAATACTAAATTTTTTTCTAATGTACATACAAAAAATACTTTCGTTTCGTGCTGTAAAACGATACAATGAAAAAGTCATCATTCAACTGACATGAAATAAAGAAAGTCGTATAAGTGTTTCTAATTTTGCGAATTGGCTAAGATATTTGTCTTTTTCTGTAAAGCGATAATCTCATTAAAAAGATCCGAAGCCATTGCATTGATTTCGAAGTCAAAGTTTAAATTCTAAATTAGCTTCTAAAAAAAAAAAATTATTTGAGAAAGTTCAAATTCCAGACAAATACTGCATGCGATATTACGACTGCGTAAAAATATATTATTTTTATTTTGCAATAAATACTTATTCAACAGTCCTGTTTGTAAGTTTTTTTTTATGAAAGTAATGAATTCTGGCTCTGGTCAATATAGATATCTTAGTGTTATCTCTTGATATCTGTCCAAAGATCAATGTGCTGCAGATGAAATAATATAAGTCAAAGTATCGTATATCGAATAAGCACAAAGTTCTTCGGACGTGTAGGCAACGGTCGATCATCTGTAACTATTTCATCACTGAAGTTTTTTTTTTTATAAAATGTACTTTGTTACAAAAACTATCAGATACAAGTATAGCATACTGCATACATCGCCAGCTAATTTTCTTCACAGATGCGGTATATTTTATAATGTATTTCTATAGGATGCTCGGATGCCTTGCGAATGCAAGATTTGCTATCAAAGATTGATTCAAGAGAAATCGTTTGATTAATCGTTTTAATTCGTTACTGTATCGTCAAGATATCGTGAAAAGAGTCGTTCTCTCCATCGTCGGCTTATTATGTGCGAAATGATATTGCATTTTTTTTATTACGCTGTATGTCGAGTAATTTGCCGCATAATGTGTCAAGTAGAATGAAATGATCGTAATTATCAAAATTACAACTTAAACGATAAAAAAAAAGTTTTATTATTCGTTGTCTAATAATTATTAATGGATAGATGTAATGAAAAATGATGTATAATAATTTAAAATCTAAGTAGGCTATCAGAAATGCGATATTAGCAAAGCAAAAGTTTCAAATTCTTTCAATTTTCTACGGTACAGTCATCGTGATTATCAAACGAAATAATTTATCGATGATTATCGGTCCTGCATCGATCTTATCGTGAAAAAATTGTAGCTCTCTGGTCAAGGCCTCATTGAAACGAATAAAAATTTCCATCGAACGATGCAGAGTTACAAAATGTAGTCTGAACTAATTCTAATTTGAAAGAATTGTCAGAATAAAATATAATATTAGATAGCGTAATTTTGATATTAGATAATATAATGAAGCAATTAATTGATAAATTGACAGCTATATATTGTACACATGTTAAATGTCTCAACGTGTAAATATTATTTCAATGCATTAAATTTTTCTCTTAAATATTCGTTTGTTACAATTTTAAATTGTGCGGAAAAATTTGTATAATGTGATACATTTAAATAATTTGTGACATAATATTTAATTAAAAGTGTTATTTTTTATTTTTTAAATATTAAGTAACTCATTCGTTTAATTATCTCAAAAATTTGATATTATATTATCACGAATTATTTTATGTTGCTGCTTCTTTCATATAAAAAATTTCATTTATGATGCTAGTTGTTAGCTCTGCAATTATTTACTGTTATAAAAATGTGCTAATTTTGAAGTATTTGAAGAACGAAATTTAATTATTGATTAGCATTTGTTGGAAAATACCCTGTACGTATTGACGATTATGCGATTAAAATATCAAACGTTATAAGTGCAAAGATATGGTTCAGTGAAAAGAAAATGAAAACATCATAGACCATGTCGACGAGGGTATTCTGATAACACTGATTCAACTGACTTAAGCATGATAATAATGATCGGTATTGCAGTGTTGTTCTAAATGTAACATTCGAAGCGAGTACATTGCATTATTTTTGCAGGCTGGAAAGTTAAACTTTGTAGATTTGTTTACAAAAACGGCGTTTTCTGCACTTTCCTTCATTATTCGATATATCAATATTTGCATTATTGCGAATATTAACACAAGAGTTTAGGATACATTGCCGATACGAAGCTTGAGGGATACACGTTTTCACTTCTCGAGGCTTACAAGACTCAGGAAATTACTGCAGAAAGTAAGACACAATATGCAATTTTGTTAGGAACTCACCCGTTAACTCCATTGCTGAGCAATCCGTTCATGTTGTTCTTTTTACCTTCCACCATAATTGCAGTTATGATGTTCCACGAACGATCGACGTCTGAAATTCAGAAGAACATTAATAATCTCAGAATGCGATTAGATTAATATATTTGTCAGAGGCAAAATAAATTTTGTAATGATACAAATATATTACTTATTCATTGCTCAATATGCAAGAAAAGATTGATGCTATGCTGAAAACATAGAGCGCGCGAATTTATTTATAATTTCAAATTATTTCGCAAGCAAAAAATAAAAATTATTTATACGATATCTGTTAAAGATTCAATTCGCATATTTTTTAATTCTAATTTACATAATCTTGTAAATTCTAAATGGCCAAAATTTTTCTCTTCGAGAAAATTTTATATTTTTATTTTAAGTCTAAATGCAGTAAAATATTATATGTATATATCTTGTGGAACTGAAATACACATATTACAAAATGCATAAATAATATCGTGAGAAATAGATAGAAATAGATAGACAATAGAATCATTTTATCTGAATAACAAGGAATTGAATATTAATGATAATGATATTGCGGATGGAATTTGATTTATCGGCATATGCATAAATCAAAATATTTATTAACTGATTTAGAATTTCTTGATTCTAGAAGAAGTTTAGAATTCTTGATTTATAGTTCCTTGATCTTCTATATTTCTCTTTCTCTTCCTCTTTATTTCTCTCCATTTTCTAATTATAGAAATTACTTTGCCAAGGTTGATGATGTAATTGACAAACGAAGTTCATGTTCAACACCGCAAATAATACTTCATAACATTGCGTGCTGATTATGTGAACGACATTTTCTAATGATTATAATCACGTGTAACTTTCATTTACGAGGGAGAGAGAGACTGTGATGGATTTGCGGTATAAAACACAGTGCAATTCATTGTTTCTCCAATATTATTCACGACTAGATAATGCGCACAGCATTTTATATCCTTCTGTTGCTTATTTTTCGCAGTACTGTTATGAATAATCGAATAAAAACCGTTTTATTAATATTCACGTATTAATTATTTCGAGTTGTTCAATTTTATTATTACAGAAATACAGAAATACATTAATACAGAAAGGATTTCTCATTTACTTGTAAATGGACAAATACCGATTAAATAAGATTACAGAATTACAGAAATACATTAATACAGAAAGGATTTTTCATTTACTTGTAAATGGACAAATACCGATCAAATAACTATTACTTGGCAATTTTTTATCAAGAATAATTTTAATTGCTGATTCTCATTCCTAAAACTGGTTTTTTTTTTCAAGGATGCGTAAAATCAAATATGTGTGCGAAGCATGCGAACAAACATGGTTTAAGAAATGTTTGAAGTTTTAAACATTACTTCTTTCAAAGAAAATACTTCGTTAAAATTCTAGTCGTAGTATTAACATCCCATACAAACATACAAAAATACGCAGAAAATAGATAAAAATAGAAAAAAAAGCGTATGTAACTATTTTATTATATTATAAATAAGAAAATGTTCCAAACCAACGATTTCTTGCAGCGCATACGCGTGGTATATGTGCATTTCGTAAACCATGCGTGATAGAGTTGCATAGATACCGTTGCAGTTAGTACGATATAAAGGTCGGAACACACATGCTAACACCGGCCGGATGCGCATATCGCAGCATAGTTTTTTAACGTCTTTTTATTGTTGCATATAAATACATTGTCAAGGCAAACCAATCACCAAATGTTTAAGATTAAAAAAAAAAATTTCAAACCAGTTATCACATAAAGTATCGAATAACCTGAGTAAAACCAGAACTTTGAGAAATTGAAATTTAAATCACTTCAAAAAAATTTATTTTATTACATGTGCTAAGTAGCATCTCTTAAAGCTATTTACAAAAATGGTTTGTACTTATTAACCAAAATTTTTACAAAAATAAAAATTATAGCATTTTTATCCTTTAATACTTACACCTTTTTCAATATCAAAATCTCAATTATATATTAAGTTTACCAATATATCACATATTATTTTGTGTAATTTTGTTTACATTATATTCTACAAAAATATATTATATTCTATCAAATGTTAAATAAGTAGTATAAATTTAATATTTACCAAGTGAACCCTTCGGGAATCGTACTCCGGAAATACCGTATTGTCGGCCCTATATGACGGGCGTAAATGTATGGTTAGGACAGAAATCTGCGACACGACAGCACTCCACGCGTGCCAATTCGCGACGCGACGTTATAACTAAACTGGACGATCGATCGTATTCGACTTCGTGCCTCCTAATCGGTTTGGGTTCCGGCATCCCCCTTCATAGATTTCGCACAGTGGATTGGTCGCCGATAAAGCCTCGCAAACTTTGACACTCGTGATCCTCTCGGCCCCACCAACTGCGAAAGTCCGTTGTTAACACACTCCACGCGAGCACTGCACGCTCAGTGCGTCTCTAATCGCATGTCTGTGTGTGTCATGCATAGAGGATCACAGTGAGCGGCTGTTCGTCAGCTGACCGAACCATGTTCGATACTATACACTTACACATGAGAAGTATATGAATTGAGAACCATTCAATAAAAGTTGGTAACTTTGTTACCAGCTGCTATCACATGGAATATATATTTTTAATGATTATTTAGAATGAAATTGGGATGAGGTTCAGTATTATTTGTGGAAAGTGCAAGGTAATTATTTTTATCGATCGTCTGTGAATTGAATGATCAATGATGATGATTCTTTGGTTTTTTGATAGTTTGTACCTACCATCGATATATTTTAGTTACTGACTGATGATTCTTCCAAGTATCAGCTGTAGAAAAATCGAATGTTGTGGATATTTTTCTTTTGAATTACTTTTGCAAAATAATTGTAGTAAACAATTATTAATAAAGTTTTTATAATACAGAACAGATTTTTAAAATATTTATATGAATATTAACTTGTTTAGGATATAAAATTACTCATGTAAGTTTCTGAAAGTTGCTGCTCAGAGTGCTGCGAGCGCAAAGGAATGCAATAAGATTGGCTAAATTTAACTGGGAATGTTTTGGAAAGTATTAATGCAGCAACGTTGAATCAATCGCAGTTATCTCTTTCTTGTATAAAATCTGCAGAGTTTAACATAAATCTGTGGCGTGTAGAAAATAAAAATCAAAATATATACGTGATAAACCACTTTATTAATACATTAAAATAGACAAGAAGATAAAAATTGCAATAATAAAGTTGTCAAACATGAGTAGAAGTTTGGCATGAGAAGATGTTTGGCATATTATTTCCAAATAAAAAAACGATGAAACAGGAAAAGCATACGAGAGCCAATGGCAATCTTTCAATCTTTGATTTCATCGACATGCTGCAGCCAAAATATAATAAATATCAAAGTTGAATTTTCACGTAGTTCTTCTGAAATTCCGTCAGTTCTCTGTTTGGTGTGCGGTGGCCACTTTTTTTCGGTTTAACGAAGTCTTCTGGCTTCTCTTTCCGACTCCAACAATGTTAGGATGTCTCCTTCGCGCACGGGACCTTTGACGTTCCTGATAAGCTGTCTGTTTTGCTCGTTCAAGAATTCCACTTTAACTTGCGTACATTGTCCTTGAGACCCCGTCCTGCCGAGGACCTTCACCACTCTCGCCCGGACTATGGGTTTCTCCATGTTTTTTTAACGGATATAAAGTAGCTTTTATCTTACTGTGCAATTACGTATGCGGAGCAACTCTTGTACAACGTGTTGCAATACTCGCAGTGTCGTGCACTAAATACGCGGCTGTTACCAACTTGGACGGTGGATCAAATAACATCTTGATAGTGTTCCAAGAAAGAGCAGCGTGCGTCGAGTAGGGATATCTAGTAAATTTTGCAAAAAGTATGCAGATGATTTAAACTGCTTCGTGAATTGTCTGAAAAAATGATAAAGATTAAAAATATGTATATTGAACGAAGTTATTCAAAATTAGTCACACTCGATAATTCATCGACGAAGATGTGCTTAAAATAAATCTGATCTTCATTGGTCGCACAGCCATTACGTGCTCTTGAGGCCTTTGGAACATCTATTCAAACTTTACGATTCCGCAACATCGTAAACACTTTAGAAAAATATTATTATGTATTTCTACGTATTAATCGGTAATTTCAGTTTCAGTTTAAGATTTTTTGTTAGCAAAAATCTGAATAAATACTTGACATTTACACATTTCTATATTAAAAATGAAATATTTTGATAGTTGGGCTTCACATAAAAAAGATAATTCACCCATTGATACAATCGTTTATTCATTTGTGCTTTAGTACAAATGTGGCATCCCTCGCTAAAACGAAAATACGAAAAACATTAGCGTTTCGTCAAATGTCGGAGTTGTTTTTCTTTCATCGCGCAACACCTCCGTAGCTCTCGTCATTTCGAAAAAGGAGATTTTGCCTGCGCCTGATCTTTGCAAAATTACGCGCGCGCAGTTACACGATATTCACATTCTTTTCGTCATATAAAATTACAGTACTAGAAAAAGATTGCGACAATTGGTATGCGGTGAGTGATCTGACGCTATACATTGTACATCAACGTGTGTGTGTATGTATGTGTGTATAGATGTGTGATATAGTTTTCAGAAGCGATGAATTACGAATAGAATTTCCTATGCTGCAACACACACACACGTATCTTGTATGTTTCCACGTGTTCTCTCTCTCGAGCGAGATTGTCACGGTTGAAATAAAAAACTCGCGCGGCTGGCGATAAACGCTCGTGAAGTTTTGAACACATTGCGCGCATCTTCACGGCACGGATCAGATAATCGAATCGCTGATTATCCCGATCTTCTTTCTCGCTCGTTGTTCTTTCGAGTGCGATTTATGCAGCTTTAACTTGGAAGTTTGATAAGCGCGAAAGTATAGCACGATCGTCGAGCATGATCAAGATTAATTGGTAATCGTTGAAAAGAAAAATAATCGACACGTCGACACAATGCACATTCAGATCTCGATTGTACCGATGAATTCGAGAGAAACATTTACAAATAATATTATTGCTATGTGAAGATAGTACGCGCTTTTCCAAGATAAACTTTCGAAAGCAACAAACCGAGATCTGAGTGTGTTGACAATCATATGATTAATAATGTATCACGCATATAAAATTATTATTAGGATATTGTACAAGAGTATCTTCATCTTGATACGACTTTTCAATCGCGACAGACAAACCTTTTATAAATATCGTAAACGCATAAGCATTTGTTCATTTTCTTTTTGCTAGATTAATTACTCGAGTTTTATACAATAACATAAAAAATTAACAAAACAAATATGTTTTTGATATTAATACAAAATTAGTTGTGGTAACATAATAATTTCGAAGGAAACTCGAATTCTATAGTTGTTTCTTCTCAGAACGCAGCAACTATATCATTAGACGAATTGCTCAGACGAATAATAAGTACAAGTGTAAATAATGGATGTAACTATATAAGATATATAATTCTAAAAATATAGAAATTTATTTTTCACCTCAAAGGTTAATACACATATCTTTCGTCAGTCTGCGCCTTTTCTTTAATATTAGGATTATATGACACGAAAAGCATGCGCATATATTCTTCAGCAAAAGACGACTTTCGTTCTACATTTTAGCGCTACAGAAATGTATTTAATAATAGCTATGTTCAAATAATATAATGAGGAAAGTAAAAAAATTATAGAATTTTTAATTAGAACTCTGCAAATTTTTCAGAAATTGTGTAACATTTACTGTAGCGCCGTCTAAAATTATTTTAAATTCAACGGACTATAACATGAGAAAAAACATTGCACAGTCGAGATAGCGCAATGAATTGATAACTTTCAATGCCCGATCAGTTAAAACAATAATATCCCGACAAAAATTTGTATCAATGTTTTATTAAGTATTCAACTAATCTTAAATATTTTTATCGAGACATAAAATTAACTTATAGTTCACAAGTCAAATAAAATAATATCAAAGTATAAATACTGTTCTCCTGTCACTTATATGTATATGTGGGTAACAAAATTGCTAAAAAAATATATCCATTACCAACGACATATAATTTTAACGGAAAATACCATAAACGATTAACAAACGAAATGATGTGATATAATATTAATTTTCGTGAAATTTTCGTGAACTAAATTTTAATTTTCGTGATAGACTTTGTTGCTTTATCATTCTGCTATCATTATTTATTCATTAACGTAGATAAAATAAGTAGTAGCCATATAAAATGAGCCTAAAAGAATAACATATAATAACAATATAATTATATATATATATAAATTGATATTTTCTCTATAGATTTTTTCTTATTGATCAAAGTTAATTAGTATTATTAATGTTTGCAGTAAATTCTGGTTGCGCGTAAAATAAATTTGATAACAAATAAAGTATATCTGCGATATAATTTTAATCACTGCCGTTTCGTCGGTCGCTGGATAAATAAATCCGCAGAATGATATGCGTGCATAGGCCGCGGAAAGGAATCACATTATTATAAAAAATCGGTACTAATTAATTACAGATTCGTTAACGCGCGCAGACGCACGCTATCTATCCTCTTCTGTCGCTTTATACAGTTATACAATTCCTCCAAATCCTTCCGAATAATCACATATGTATACTATAATAAATGTAACAATATTTAGCACTCGCACTTAGAAGCAACGCTCAGGCAGCTAGTGATTGGTCAAGTGTGAGCTTTTTACAATTAACCCTTTTCCCTCCCCCCTCTTTTCCTTTTCCCCTTATAATTATCGTAGCTATTAAGTAAATCGTTGATGAAATTACGATATGAAGAAAGATTGTTAGTGTGATTATGTGTGAGACGTGTGTCGGATGCACTTTCTACCTATTTTTACGTTAATACGAAAACGTCAACTCACGAATTAAGCATGTTTTCGGTTTTCGCAAATTGCTCTCGTTCGTACGTTGAAGAATGTCATTATGACCGTAAGACGCGTTTATTATTCTTTAAAATACCCGTCGCAGTCGAAATGAATGCAGCGAATTATAATAACGCTATTATAATATAAGATGAGAATATAATAAAAGACTCGTTTGAACGATTCGTGTGTGTTCTACTCTACTTATCTATCTATAGAAACCCTTATTTCGTCGCGCTCGCGCGTTTGAACGCGCTCGTTGGAGGGACACGAGTCCTGAATGGGCCTAAGGCTCTTGGCGAGTTCGTAGTAATTGGCTATAAATGTTCACGTTTTTTTTTTCTGTTTTTTTCGATTCAATATTCTCTCATTCGGATAATCGACGGCGTTGCCGTCGCGTGTCGGTCTACTATTGTTAATGCGCGGTTGAGGATAAATCGTTAGATAGCCTAATTCCTGCCTGTACTATCTTACTTAAACACACGCCTACCTAGGCGACCTAAGATTCATCTTTATGATTCGTCTTTAATCGGATTCCTTCGAGTGTTCTCTCGCGACAACTCTCGGTAGCTGTTTCTCTTATTCGGACTAATAAAGTACGATAAAATGTCTTCTTTTGCCAACGGCAGAGATCATTCGGTTCGGCACCGTAAGCGGTAACCACTACGTTTAATAATAATTAAGCGCACCCTTCGAAGCTCATCGACGCTCTACATCAAATGGAATCGATAAAAAAATATTCTGCGAAAGAGGTAGACGAAACGAATAATAAAGTATGCGGCGGAAATCCAACGACTCAAATCACAAGCTCGCACATTAAATAATTGATTTAATCGAAGATGATCTGTGTGTAATGTTCCCTCGTATTCTACGCAGCGATTCTCGCCGCGTTGTTTCAGTTTGATAGCTTCACGCGCTCGTCGTCGATCGCTCGAGATCGAACGCGTTCCTCTCGCGATCGCCCTTCTCCGTCGTTGGTTACACACGATTAAGAAAGTGTGATCTTCTGATGATATCCCAAGTCACAGTCTCAGTGTAATGACGTTCGTAGCGTCGCGACGTGATCGATTATTGTCTGTCCTCGACTATTATCAGAGAATTTAACGCAGGGATCGTAACTTGAGTCTCAGCACGAAGTAAACGACCACTCTGAGACCGAGCAGGAAGCCGAGCAGGGCGACGACGTCCACCCAGTAGACCGCGTTCTCCATGGACATCTCTTCGAGGAACTTCGTCGGACTTTTGAAGTGGCAGTAGGACTCGGAACACTTGAGTTTCGCCCGATTGTAGCCGTACACGGAGATCATGGCACCTTCGAAACCGTACCTCACGTAACTCACGTACGAGAGGAACTTAAGATATTTTGGAACGGCGTTGAAGTTAACGAAGAAGCCGGAAAAGAGGATGATCGGGACCGACGTTACGGGCCCGATAAACACTCCAGTCTGCAAACAACAATATATTAGATTGAATTACGGGAAAAGATTAGAGGAATTGGAAGAGAATCGTTTGCTGGTCCTTTTCACAATGCGATCGTTCATCGACATTACCTCCACGCTCATTGCTGCTCCTATCAACAGACCGATTGACTGTGCGACTAGCGATGTCAGTATACATATATTTAAATACATAAGAAAGCGCTCCGTCTCCAACGGTTGCGATGTGATAAAGTATACGATCATCACGTAGGCTATAGAGTACACCATCTGGAACAATTTAATATCGCGTGAGTCGCGATCTTTAATTGGACGCGGAGGGCGCAAGTAGTTGTACTCACTTGGAACGGCAGGTCCGCCAACGTTCTCGCCAGGTAAAAAGCTTTCACCGAGTACCAGTAATTCAAGTGCTCTCTCACGAATACGGACATTTCCATCGGAACTGCGACAAGAAGTGACAAAATGACGATATAGTAAATTCCACGGCGCGCGTCACGGCGGCGCTGATTCGCTACAAACCGGCTTACATGTTAGTATGGTTGGCATCATAGCGGTGAACATCAGAAACATCACCGTAAAGAAGACGCATCCGGCGTTACTCATGACCTGCGAGGCTTCGTTGCCGATATCGTAATAAATTGCGCCGATCAGGAAGCCGACGATTATATGCGAAATCAATCTTACCCTTGTTAGTGTCTGTTAGAAGGCAAAGTGAAAGCGATAAAAATCGGAATGTTTTCAGATTAGATGTACGCCAATAACAAGCAGCGTACTATCTTTCTCCGTGATTAGAATTGCGCTACTTCTATTTGACGGCTAGTACAACTATCTTTGTAATTCTCAGCAGTAATAACATTTCTTATTTTAATTACGTAATAATTTTTTTTTTTTCAAAAGATTAAGAAATATTCCATACCATGTCTCGCATCTGCGCTAAGAAGGTTCTCTTAAGCAGTATCCAAAATTGCACCCAGCCGTTCGTCGGAAAGCCAACTTTCTGTTCTATGCTCTCCGCGCTGTCCAGCAATGAGGTTGTGCAAGAAACGGGCATATTGATCATTGTCGTGCCGGGCGGTGGCTTCGCGACACCGTTCGGTATCAAAGCAGCACCCTCCGGTTTCGTCTGCTCTTGCGGCGACTCCTTCGCGATGTCGTTCGAAACCGTCTGCGCCGCGGCGATGCCCGCTTGATAGTGCTGATAGTTGTTGCACTTGCCGTTGTTTACAGCCATCACGAGCTTGTGAACGCATTCGCCGTGCTCCCCGCAAGCGACTTCCATCACTGAACCGATCAAGTTTCGTTAACGCCTCGTGACTTTTGGACGCTTCGCAAAATTTTTCGACACTTGTAATTTAATGTAAATGAAACTCCGAGAATAATTCTCAAATTCTGTCTTACAACGGCGTTCGATTTTACTGCGGATTAATTTACCGAACAGAGAAGTTTTTTTTTTTAATATAAAAGCGAGCGTTAAAATTTAGATTAATGATGGGAACTTTGTCGAGTACTTGCCGTAATCCGCTGGATTGTGGTAACTCGGACACTCAAGACCCATCGATGACAAGAAGGGCACGAGGCCACCGACGTTGCCCTGATATATACATTGGCCTTCGGCAAGTAGGTAGAGATGGTCAAACATCTCGAACAGCCGTGCACTTGGTTGATGGATCGTACATATTATCGTCCTTCCTGTAATGAATCCCGGCGTATAGTGTTTGTTTAAGCGCGTAGAAGTTTTCGCGAAAAAAAAAATGTTACCTCCTCTACTGAGAGATTTGAGCAAACTTAGACATTGGAAACAGGAAGAACTATCTAAGCCGGAAGTGGGTTCGTCGAAGAACATAACCGGAGGATTGTTGACGAGCTCCAACGCTATCGACAGCCTCTTTCTCTGTCCGCCGCTGAGACTCTGAGTTTGAGTGTTGCTGGCTTCGCGTAGGCCAAGTGTTTCGATAATCTCCTCGATCTGCAATCGATTCATGGACGTTTCAAAAATTGAATTTTCAATAATCTGGATTTATGAGTAAAAAAAGAAAACGAGCCAAAAGAAAGATATGCTGCTTGTCGTACCACTACTTTCTTGGCAGTTGCGCTGATATCTTTTCCTAACTTCAGATTCGCTGAGACAGTCATCGCTTCGTAAACGGTCAGATGTGGAAGAAGTCGATCGTCTTGCATGATATAGCAGGACATCTTCCGAAATCTTCTGAGGTTCCTGTCTTTCCCGTTAATCAGCACCGAGCCACTCAAGTGCGATGTTCTAGAGATATTGGGAGATGATTAAAATGTTCAGCTTTATCGTTTATCGCTGATAAAGTGCTGGTGCTTTTAATTAAAATTATCTCACTTACTTGTAACCTGCTAAAACGTTCATAAGCGTACTCTTTCCGGCACCGGACGGTCCCATAATTGCCGTCAACTCTCCAGATCTGAATTTTCCATTCACGCATTTTAAGATTGTTTTGTATCCTACAATGAAGAAATAATACAAAAATAGAAATACAGATATTTTCCCATAAAGTTTGAAACTCTATCCTCAATGCGGATTCGCAATAAAATGCTTTCCTACAATTTTTACGTTTGAAAGATGAAAACTTTTTTTATATATCATTATACGCGTCGTAGAAAAAACGGTTATATTTTCTAGTTCTGCTATTTCGCATATTTAACAAATGCTGCAGTGGATGAGCATTATTTTATAATAGAAGTATAAATGTTTCAATTTTGGCACATTTTCGATTGCCAAAATTCTCACTACAACCTCGCCAGATTTGTGACATTTACCAGGCTATTATACAGAAATATAGTGAGATTATATACTCTTCTGATAGATAAAACCTTTCTAGCTGACCTCTTTAACGCGAGTGCAGTTTCACCGCGGATGATGCATTTGCGTCGAAACGCCCGTGCATTTCTATCGATTTTTTTTCAGTCAGGTCGTTCACACACACTGATAGATGAAAGACCTACCGAATGGCTCGCCGCGTATTCGCGATTCGCCACTTCAACCCTCTCTAACATCTTGAATTATCTACGGCTTTTCAGCGAGCCATTTTTGGATCGATAAAAGATGCAGAGTCGAAAACACATCTCGTGCCGATATACATACTATTTCGAGATGCGGGGAAAACTGTGCACACGTGTTTATTATGCTTCAAGTTCTCCGTTATCGTATTGTCAATAAACGATCGTAATGATAATTGAACGATGTGCAGTAGGCGAGAACAAGAATTAACTTTCCCCCGCAATTGCCCGGAATCGCAATTGCCTTAATTCACTTCTCCGAAAACCTCACCTCTCTTTCTGCCTTCGGACACGCTGTAGGCCAGGTCCTTGAACTCCACGTCGACCGGCGGTCTCTTCGGGAGATGCGTCAGCGATACCGCCGGCCTTTTGTTACTCTGTCCAGGACTAGCGCCGCTATGGTTCGGCACTTTTCTGGCCAGAACACCGCCGGTGCACACCGCAGCCGCAGCACCGTTTGACGTGGTGCCATTGCAACTGCAGTGAAGGTTGTTCTGCGAGCCGCTGTAACAATAAGAGATTTCACCCGATCGTAAAACTTCGCTAATTGAGCTCTGATAACGAAATACCTGCACTCCATTTATCAACACATGTTTACCGTATCGCAGGAATATCTGCTGAGCTTGCATACGTTTTCGAGACGAAGTGCTTTCGTGTTTGCCAATCTTTGTTTGCCAATCTACATTGTTTTTGTCGTCTGCTTAAAAAGCGCATAATTTCATACGCGTTAAAATTAAATAACTACGCTGGAGGCTTGCCGCGCTGAATGTACGTGCGGCGTATACGTAAACGGCGACGATTACACATGCATATCGATCTGTTTGAAATTGACGAGATTTTAGGCGAGGGAATATTCCGTTAAATCGCAATTAAATCGTAAAGCGGGACATTGATGCTGCAAAAAGTGATGATTGGATATTAAATTCAACGGAGCTGCCCATTCCATTCGATCTTTTAATGCAATTCGCAATTTTGCACACGATAAGCGATACCGATTCGTGGTATTGAGTAATGGGATTGATTGCCTTCGGATATGTAAATGCTATTGAACGTTAGATAAATGCAGAATTGCATACAGACCATTGAACATCGAACTCACGGTTACTTTTAGATTCAAGGCATTTGGGGAACACACACATACACGCACACACACAATGGCGTATGATCGTCATACTTGTGTTTGCGACATTGAATTTTAACAATAGATTTTAATTTTTTACTTTATTATTTTGCAAACAGATTGATAAAAAAGGATATATTCACCGGCATATATGGACAATACTACAAAGTACAATATTGAAATTTATCAATAGAGGCTTAGATAAGAAATTAACATAAGCGTCTGAGTTTTTTCTTCGCACTCGCGTCATGCATTGTCATAGATTTTGAGAACGCACTGTCTTTCGTTGCAAACGCAGATTTCTGCTGCGGTTTTACAGGCGCGAGAGAAAGAGAAAGCTTACTCTTTTCTAACATTGAAGGAAATAAAAATATAACTGAATTTCTATCTATTTGCTTTGTGCAACCGCGTTTTCAACTCCTAATCGGACGTGATATTCACACATTATGCCTTCACTGCTATCAGGAGGAAATGTTTCTATGCAATTTAATTTGCATAGAGTGAATCACAATCATGACGCGACCTTTTAAAATTGCACGTATCACGCTCGTCGAAATTTTTTTTTCAATTCTTATTGTTTATTTCATGGTCAGAACTGTAAACATTTTTTATTGCGAGCATCCGCTTATTGTTGCCACGCTCGTGGCAAACATTTTTCGAATAAATCAATAAGAATCTGAAATAAAATTTAAATTAGTAATTAGTGAATTCCGAGAGAAATGCAGTAAAAACTTTAATGATTTCGCAAAAATTGCTAAGCGATTTGTATTCAACAAGCGGCGCCAATGAAAATAAGTAACTCACTTATTCGCTGATTGGATAATCGAAACCATGATTCTTTGTAAAAAGTTTAACGAATAAAATCCATAAAACTCGTTACGGAACAATTGCTAGTAATGAATATTACTCACTGCGAAAAACTTGATGAAAAATCATAAATAATTGCATTAACTTCTTTCACATTGGATTCACCAGCACGCACAAATTAAAAAAGATATATCATATATTTTATTTTGTAAATATTTATGTCAGTTTTATATAAATTAATTAATTCTAGAAACTGAATGATATTTTCAATATCAAATCAATTTATTATTTTTGTTTGCTATACAAATATAGAAATATGTGCCAGTGTAGAAAATATCGACTTTTTCGAGATGTATTCGCCTATATATTTCCGGCTATATACAGTGAGCCAAATAGATAATATAACGAAAATGTTAATGTGTAATCTTGGTATTTTCATGCATGATAACGTCGGATAATTGAAATATTGTATGCAGACAGACTTCCAATCGATTCTCTACGCGCTCCTCTGTATTCGTAATTCCCAAGGTTTATAACGCCTTGTCCTCTACGAAGTTTTGTCCTATAAGTCTTTCTCATTGTCTATCGATTTTTTTATGTATGACATTAAGGCATAATAGCAGAAGCCTATAAAAATTTAAAGCACACACATACACACACACATAACATACGGAATTAAATATTAACTTTCTATTTCGCCGTAGAATTACACGTGCATTGCAAGTGTGACTAGCTTGTACTATGACATTTAACAGTTACAGCTAAGAGACATATTTCGTCGATTACATTTCATACGAATAATATAAAAGTAATTGGAAAAAAAATTGTCTGCAAATCGAAGATGTTGCCCCAAGATTCTCTATGTAATTATCATATGGTAAATTGCAAAAGTGTGCAGCAGCACATGGATACGCAATTTCTTCATGCGCTCAATTGATTTAAAAGAGTGATAGTCACAAAGAAGACGCGTCTTTGTCCAGTATGTTGCATCGCTACTCTCGACGATGAGTCACAGAGTCGTGGAAGCCGAAGCAAACGTGTCTTGCTTCGTGCCGATACATCTTTTCTTGGAAAATTTTAATTAAAGTTATGATAAATTTGAATCCTTGCGCGTATTTCCAGCGCGAGTCTTTTGTTTCAGTCTCGATATTCTCGAATTCAGAGAACGAAGTTTTCACGAGGTCAAGAATCTTGACTTTGATCGCCTGTACTCCGAGACAATTAGTATCGATTGTTATTCTAGGTCTACTAAGCGGTAGCGGAGACCTTCAGAAGGAATTTTTAATTAATTATTCCTGCTGTTTGCATAAGCATAGAAAGGAGAAGCTCATTATGTTTCAATAATGTTTTTTTTTTATTTCAAATATCATTAATCTTAGCGATAATATATTTTTTACGATTTTTTTCCTACGATTTAAGAATAAATTATATTATCGACATTATGTATTACGTCACTTTATAATAGAGTTTCAGACTTTAACACTTAGATTGAATATTATTTTTAGTCGCAATAGAATCTGAAACGCAATTTAAGTGCACTTTAAAAAAGGTAGATCGAAGCTAAGACCTTGTGATCTCTTTTAGATTTTAGTTTAAGGAGAAGGTTTGCGTGTTCGGGAAAGGTCTGTCCTTCAGGAGGGTCGTATTCTCCCTTTATTCAAAGCAAAGTTCTGCGTTTCATTTAAATGAATCTATGTTTGATAATAGTTTGATTTGAAGATTATGATGCAAAGATCAATTTAAGATGATAAGTTAACAAAAATCATCTGAATATGGTTATTAAATTTATCAGATATAATTAGTAATTGTGTTTGATCTCAGAAAAATTAAATATAGCGCAAAAATTACAAATTAATCCGTGATAAATTTTGCACATTTAAGTCTACTAATAAACTCGTCTTCTCTATGCAATATATTTAACATAATCGCATTCGAAAATGACAAGAATTTAATATTAAGTGATAGTTAATATTAATCGTACAACTGTTTATATACTGATATGAGTAAACATTATCAGGATATTATATCAGCCGCCGTGAGCAGAGATATTTGAGATAATTGATATTAGTTTGAATACTATTCGAATATTGTATTTCCCGAGAGAATCATGAGGTGATATTATAATATAAAGGGTATCGTAGAATGCTAATCAGTAGATCGCTAATATAACCGGCGATCAAAAACCGAGGGGACGGACAAAACATAAATTTTTTTCTTTTAAGGTCAGAATCAAGGATTCAGAAGATTCATTCAGAATCAAGGATTGCCAGACGATACGGCGACTTTATTTCTACTATTATCATATATTATCTCGAAATAACATAAGAATTCTCGTAGCATATAAATTATTCTTCATTTTTTATGAGTAATTTTTATTTTTGTTTAGTGATTCTTAACTGAATATATTGCAGATAGATAACTATAAAATTTAAAAAATTGCCAGTCGCGTTAATATCAGCATTTATTCATTATTTCTGTTTTCATCATTTTTTTTCTCGAATTTTTTATATAAATCTTACTTATATAAATCCAAGATTAGCACAGTTTTATTATATTGTCAATACTTTGCTGCTTGTGTAACTGTAAGATAAAGAGTTTATGTAATTACGCTTAATATTTTTCGTTTTTTTCCGTGTATATTTTTACATTTGTGTAAAGATTATAACTCACTTTCGGTTTATTCATAATGTATTGTTTCATAATTTAAACAAGCTAATGCACGCATCGGATTAAGATTAGCTAGCTTTAATACAACGATCCTTTATTTACCGAAAGGACATTCAAATTGATTGCATATGATTTGATTTTCGTTTTGTTTATCACATTTTATGCATGCTCCATCGTTGCATCAATGAGATAAACATTTCGCTCTCTCAATTCGTTGTTTATCTTATATTTTCCGATCAAGCTCCAATTTGAATTGCAAATAATGCGCGAAGTGGAAAATTGCAATAAATTATTCTTACCCGTGGACCGCGTTGTTGAGATTTTCCAAATGTAAAGAGGGAGGTGGTGATCTGATCGTCACCTGGTGACTACCACCCGGAATAAATTGCACCTGCTCATCGCCGTTGTACCTGGACGTTGCGCCCCCACTCAGGGTGAGATTCTTCAGATCAGCCATCTCATCCAATGGTGCTGGAATATAATCGTATTGTTAGAATAACGTTTCATTGAGCTAAATAACGCCCAGCCACTTTTGTGCCGCGTTTAATTTTTATCTCGAAAAGAAGTAAAGTGTTTAAAAATGCCTTTATACGAACAAGTCTTTAGAGTTACATTTTGCTAAAAGGATTAGGCAGCGTACAATACTTGGAATTCCATTAAGATACTCGTGCTTAAAGTAATGACTCAAAATTGTCGGGGCGTTTTGCGAGAATCGTGGCAAGACTTCATCAGGAGTGAAGTCATTTTTCCCCGTTTGTTATTCATCTTATTGTCATGCGCTAATCGTAAATCAAATCATGGCTGCGCACTGCTTAGATTATCATCGCTGATTTCAAGTATATCTTATTACAATTGGAGAGCTCAAAAATATATTCTGGTAATATTTCAGCGCTGTGTGTATTATTCAAAACTTAAGGCATACGAAATAGACGTTTCAATAATTTAAGATTTAGAATAAGAAGCTCCCGCTCATCGATTCAACATTATTAGACGCTATATGTAGTACATAAGAGATAATAGACCATTTTTTATTCCAGCCCATCGTAACGTTTTATGTAAGAATAGTAAATATCCATTTCTTTCTCGCACACAACACGTTAGCTGAAGAAATTCTACTATCTTTATGTTTGTAGATTTAATACAAACAACAGACTCGATTTTTTGAACGTACGTATATGCTTCTTTTTAATCTATTAAAGAGAGATATTATATGCAGCGTGTCATTAATTATTGTGCGAAAATACGCATAGCCGATGAGAACACATATAATCTATGAGAATAATACGCGTATTCTCGTGCAAAGCTAAATAAGCAATAGAATACGCACAACATCGAAATAACGTTTTCCAATTGTTATTGCGGAATATGCACAATTACTAAACAGCAAAATATCTTATCACCTTGTTATCGCAATGCGCGACACGCGGTTGCACAAAAATACTGGTAATTAGATTCACTCACAATCCATTTTTTACCGAAATTATTTTGCGTATCAGAGAGACAATTTAAAGTCAAATGTATGAACTTAACCGGTGCTATTACACTGAACGAGCAAAATTCCAGCGAACTTGAAACAATTATTGCTTTCATTTGGAGAGAATACGATATTCAATCAAATGAAGGGTATGGTTCTTTCAGCATCCGTAAATGCATCCTAATGAAGCTCAAATGTCACGATTATATATCGTGATAGACGTCAGCATCAGTCCATCCATTTGTATATTTTTTTCAAAGATTGTTACTGATATGTTACTGATTAATTATCTGTACAAATTACACATTTTCTAGCCTCTTAGATGAATTTTATTGTGCATACAAATGCATGTTTTTACATTTTTAAATAACTGCATCATATTTTCGTAAATTTATTATAATAGAGCATATTTTAACACTGACCTCGTAAAAGAAATGTAAAATTAAAGAAAAAATGCGTTACTTTGTTATAATATAGCATATTTTAATGTTGGCTTCGTAAAAAAGTTTATTTAAAAAATGTTGAAGAACTTTAAAAAAGAACGACTTTAAAATATTTAACCTTATCGTATACAATAAACTTTTATTCTTGAAAATGTTCTTTTTTTGTAGACTATTATTTATTATTTTAGATGAAAACACTTAAATTTCTCAATAATAAATATAAATTTACATAAATTTAATGATACATTTTAGTGCAATTTAATACAATTTTTAGTGCATATTTTTAGAGCATATTTTGCACATTTTAATAGTTGCATGCGTACTAAAGCAGTTTTTAGAGTATAAACTCTAATTCTACTTATGACGCACAAGAAATTTTATTATATTTCGCAAACATACTGTTCTTTCTGATAGGACTTGTCTTTTCTCTCAAGAAATTAATCGATACAATCTGACTGATATTATTTGCGACGTTCTTATTTTCTTTGAAAGGAAATAACTTTTATATTGCGAACTTGAATTTTGCTCTTATTGATAAGAACGGATTATCCATATCGTATAAGAGCAGGCGGGTAATGACCGAACAAAAGGAGGACAAAAGAAAGGAAAAAAAATGTAGGGTACACGAAAAAGAATAGTAAAATATTAAAAACGTATTTATCCATTAAAGAATGAAAGACAAAAGAGAAAGAAAGATTGACCTATTTGAATATTCAGAAGAAGGTTGATTCAATCCACATCTTTACAATGTACACTATAAAAATTCAGAATATATTTCCTGATGTGTACACAAAATCCTACAACTTCCGCGTGTCGGAATCTCGTAAAAAAAAAAGAAGAAGAAAAGATCGATTTGCAACCGTGCGCCGTGGAGACCACTCGCGATACCACGGCTCTATTTTTGCAAGGCGTGCACGCGTCAGAAATTACACCGGTCGCGTGTTTGTGATGCACGACACGCGCAATTGCATATTGCACAGGCGTAATACCGCTGCCACCGTCATCGCCCGTGTCAGCAACCGCGGGTCAGGCGACGATCGTGATGAGATCTCTCGGTTCGTTTCAACATCCGGAACATGACGTTCTAGAATTGGCTGGCAGTCAAGCGGCCTTCTTTGTTTGAACAGCTAAACGTTCCCGATCGGTTCAGTGGCAATAGACGCTCGGGCCGAGCTCTTGTTAATTAAATGCCTCGCACACGGCAGAATCAATTCCGCAAATTTGATAAAGGGTACGGGATCACCGAAGTGCTCGCATATGAAAAAGAGTTCCGCTCTGGATGCATCGCGATAAAGTTTAAACTCTTAATGAGTCATGTTTGGACACATCGAATTTCATTTCTCGTATCACTGACAGTGTTCTCGCTGACAGTGTGACAAGTGCATTCGTTCGAATTAATGTTGGTGACATTCCAATTGATAAAATCTTAATTTCAATGTGATAAAAAGTCTAATTATCTACATTGTGTTGTCTCTTGCAAAAATATCTTGACGAAATAACCCGCTGGATTAAATTGACGATCTTTCTACTTGCCACGATTTTCACAATAAATTAAACAATATTTAATAGAATTTATTGCAAAGATCTCAATTTATGGAAATTCTTCATAATATAACTCTATGAATTTCAGTTTTATATATATATATATATATATATATATATATATATATATATATACTTTTCAAAGAGTTTGTTTTTGATGGCAGGAAATGCAGAAATTATGAAAAAATATAACACGTCTTGCAATAGACACTTTTTTTTCACATAGAAATACAATTATTTGATTGATATGTCACAAATTTTCCTCTTTCCAATGTCGCATATGTAAACGACAAGTACAATACTCTTATCGTAATATGCTTGTTTGATTGCTGCTGATTAATTATAGAACCCACATCACAATCTTGATTCTATTTCTAAAATCATTTGCGCAGAAGAAATTAGAGAAAAGTTTTTGATTCAGTTTATACAATGCGACACAGTAGTGTTCGTCGAGCGCTTTATTTTAATAAATCGCATTTAAATGCGATGCATTTAAATCCTAAAAGAAATACAAGAGCAACATGTTACGATCGTACAATAATCTCACTTAGAAATACAATCGAAATAAGTACGTTTGCCGTGTTCGTGTGCTGCAAATAACACCGCGTATTGCGGAAGTAAAAGACGCCCAGTTGAAGTAATTGTGTTAACGAACTGTGTGGAAGTAAGTAATAGTTTCGAACCCTGAATGATAACACGACATTGGCTGTCTCGGCAATAATTTATATAGGTTGCGTGATTGCAAGCCGTAGTTCTGCGATCATTGAAAACCGAATTGTCAAATCTAACGCGAGATAGAAAGATTGGGCGTTGATGTTTCCGTACGGCAGAAAACATCCGTCGATAAAGGCGGGGGAGTGATATGTCGATGACCGGGCAAACCATGTACGACTATGCGATCGGTGCATTTACATAATTACATCCGCACGTGAGGCTTAATTTCATTACCCCTTTCGTCGTTCGGTTTACGGCCGCACACGTATCACTTTGCGCCGCGTTACAATTAATTATTGAGGTATTTGTTAATAACCGAAGGGACCTCTTCGGCCTGTGTATTCGTGAATAAATCAACTTCTCCCCGTCCCGCAATTAATTACTGAAATAATGATGGCTGGGGATGTGTGTGTGGGGTGCTAGATTCGCGGCGTCCATGACACAGCCGTAGGGCTCGCAGGGATGGCAAAACGATGCCACCCGAAGTTGCAACGTCCATCTTACGAGTACGTTGAAACGCCAAACGGGAAAACTCACCCTCGGACAAAAGTGGGCTCAGCTACCGTCACGACGTCCGGTAGTCATGCCACAGCGATGACACTTGGCATCCTCTTGGCCTGTCAGACGCCTTCGACCTGCCAAACACTCGGATCTGTCAGGCGGACTGCGAGGCAGAGGTGTGCGCCAGGTAGAGCGATCACGGATCACACTGGTCCTCGCATCGAATCAAGGGTACGACACGATATTGCTATTCCACCCCGCGTATCGACCCCTTCGCCTGGTTACTGACGCATCACTATGTCATGTCCGTAACACCGCACTCGCTCCGGAATCGCTTTTCGACTCCGTCGTACGACGGACGATCGATCGCGTACGCGTGCACGCACCAGATAGATCCGGGACCAGATCGGGCTGGGACGCACCGAGCGCGACGTATACTGCGACTGACGAGGGAGAGCGTCGATCCGCGATCAGCTGTCGAGCTATGCACCTCCACTCCGTTCCACCGACGACAAAGCGAGCTGAGTTTGTGAGCGGCAGAGTCCAGGGACGGCGACGGTGATGGTAATCTGCACCCTGTTTGCTCTTACGTTAGATTCTTTATTCGTTTGAATGAAATATTTATTTCTGAAGAATATTAATCCTTTTCTACCGCGGCTGCGTTATTATATTTCTTATCTTATGGAAAATTAATTCAATAAGTCCTTTCATAAAGAAATTGTAAAGGAGTTTTGCGTTTTAACAATGGATAAACATTAATCTTGTAAAGCGTAAAACATAGAATATCCAGAAAAATTTATTTTGTAATTTATTTTTCTGTGGATAGTTCGCTAATATTTTACATACACGCGAAAGCATTTAAAAATCATTATCGTGGGAAACGTGTCTATGTTTCTCGCTTCCAGTTCCTAATTTGATCTCACAAATAATTATTTGCTTCTGACGATTTTTACTTATCGCTATCACACACCAGCGGCACAGATAGTTCTTATCCGGGTTATTGTAAAATTGAACTTTAAACGATGAAACATCTGAAATTGTTTATTATTCATCGAAATGACTACGTCACATAGAATGTATCTAATAATTTAATTGAGTATATTTCCGAAAAAGTAGAAATATCTGTAAAAATATAATTATCTGCATTTCATTACGAGGATTAATCTTTGTCGCGCGATTATAATCATGGAATATCAATATCAATTTCAATACAAATGCTAGTTTAATTAATTTATTACTCTACAACTATGTACACGTCATCGTTTTTTACCTCTACAAAATTCCGTTATCCGTACCAAGACGCAAATTTCTGTTGCGCACTTCCTAGTAATCATGACGAGTCAAGATAATGATACACGCGGACTTCCGCGTGTTTGCTCACATAATTGTTCCTTCTGAGAGAACAAAATGATAACAATGCAGTCAGTTTATTACTTGAGGTATAAATTATTGATCAATTGATTTTAATTCTAATAAAATATAATTCAGATTCGCGATTAAAATAAAAAAAAAAATTTAATTATCTGAGTTTGGTTTGGAAAGAAATACATAAAGTATTCATTATGGATTATCTTCGTTGTTCGATGATTTTGCATTTTACAAACAGAACAAATTTCGTGGCCTTTAAAGATGTTGCGCAGGGTGCTTTTTCCTCGCTGTACATTGTTGATCGTCGGCGCATGCACGACAAAGCGAGGCCATATCTTACGGACGAGATTCCCGGGCACGTTCATTCGAATTCCCACTTTATGATAATCACGAAGATCCTAGAAGAGCGTGACGGAGAGCGCAGGCGAACCGAGCGAAACGGTGATAGAAAGTAAGAGAGAGGGCCGTAATTCTGCGCGCGTGCGAGGAGGAAGGGAAACAACGAGGGAGAAAGGAGAATGAGCCACCACATGCCGCAGGTCGATACTCTAGCACTGAACCCACTGGTAGTACGCGTCGAGTACGGTTGCACCGACGCGAGTATGCTTGCACCGAGGCCAAAGGCATCCGAGCGAACATGACGGGATTTCGGTCCGTTCATAAGAGAAAGAGATGCAGAGGAGTAGAACGGAGGTCCCACTTGGCGGACACTCGCACTCGTGAATGAGGATCAAAGTTTGGATTCGGCTTTGACGCAAGAGCCTCTTACTTCCGCCACGGTGTATCGTGGTCCATTACACTGTTTACGTTTACATTTACGGTAGAAACACCTCGGGAAGCACGTACTTCGTTAATAATAATTATAGGACTCCTTTGTTGGCGCATGCAGTCTCGTAAGCATTCTACAAGCGGGGTAGTTAAGATAACAGAAGAATTTTATTTTGATAAAATTAACGTGAAATAATTAAAAGTGATAAAATAGTAAAATAAAATTAATGTAAATTTTCCTGCCCTTTTGTTTATATTTTCCTTTCTTCGGAGTCTGTTTTCTCTCGTGATGCAAATGCTTTTGTGTTGTCTAGATAATTTTATTAAGGAAAAGCCGACTCTACACGCTAGTTTGATAAATAAAAAAATTGCGAAAACCTTAACACTTTATGATTTCTGTACTTCTGCGAAGCATAGATGCGATAGTTCGGAGTTAACGTGCTCGGCTCATAAATCTCGCTGACGATATTTCTAGGAACAGGAAATGGATTGACCTAGTAGAAGAAAAATGTGAGACCTAGGAACCGCAGCTCGCTCGTTCTAATATTTTTCCCACCACGGGATTTTACTATTCGACATTCTTTCGACTTTGGAACACGTCGAACACTTGATTTTTGCATAATATTCTCCGCGCCGAGTAGCGCGGAGCATACTACTATTTTAGGTCCGCCTTCCCGGCAAACTTTGCACCTGTGCAGTTAAGAATAACATATTTCTGCCTCCATCGTGTAATCTCCAGTCCACGGCAATACAACGTATTCGCTCGTGGCCGTAAAAGACAATAAAACGCGCATTTGGAAAGACAATGAAATTGATGTTTCTCAAGTTTCGTAACAAATTCTCATTAACGATTTCCTGAAACAAAGCCGCGGCTCGCGGAACAAAAATCCGCGTTAACGAGCTGACAATAGGAACTAGATTTTTCAAATACGTTTTGATTGTATTCTACCTTGGATTTTCCAAAAATTTTATTTGAAGTTTGGAGTAGCTTGATATACACTTATACCATTTATATTTGCTTATACCTGCAAAGTCCTTTATATTGCTTTTCAAAATTTCTATTCCAATATTGGAAAAGATGACGAAGATAGAAAATATTGTGATTTGAATCGCTGAATTATTTATTGAGTAAATTTTCGTAAATTATCTATGACGGTTTGTTATTCATTCATAATTCAAGAGCGAGCGCCAGTAAAACTCTTAAGCAAGCGAATAAAGATGTCTTACGAACGTCTGCAAGCTTATCTCGATAAGTGTTTAAGAGCTTCAGGTGTTTCTTGATAAGCAAGACACGTGTCGAGCTAGCCAATGCGCATATTTCTTTATTATGATAATATTGTATTATAAATATGTATATCTAATAAGAGAGTCTTAGCATTCGTAATTTTAATGTGTCTCGAACAAACACAACTCAACACTTTATAATGATTCTGATAATCTTTGCAAATATTAATAAAAATATTTTGTAAAAAATTTTATACAATTCTTTTTAGATTATATTGAAGTAATCAAAATATTAAGTAATATAAGTTTTGTTTTCTTTAAAGATGCATTTCTCTTCACTCTACTTATCCAAAATGATTTTCACGTGATTCGTGAAGTTTACATATTTTTTGTTTCATTATTTTTGTTTGTCAGTGACATATACTGAATTTTTAAAAGTACAGAGCTGGAATGCGAAGTAAGAATGTGACTTTTCATGGCAGCAATGATTCATAAATTGCTTCATGACGCAGAATTAATATTTCTTGTTTTTCTCCAGAGTTCTGCAAGTTGGGAAGTCACGTGCAAGAGATCGAAGTTCGCGCTGCAATCTTTTTCCGTCATCATCTGGCACACGTTTCCGTTGTTCATTTGTGGAAGTATCGTTGTCAGCTGTCGTCGGTGCTCATGCACTCAGCAGCGATTGTTTTTACGTCAGAAGTACTGATTTCATGACTAATGACCTCGATCTGTTGCGTCGTTCGTTACGCCTGGCGATCTCGTCTTTGTTCATAGAGTAAATCGTGACGCAGATCGCTTATTGCATCGGGAGAGACACAGTTATCTATGATTACATTGAAGGCGATCGATTTGTTCGCACGAAACGAGCAACGCATTTGCGTGGGTGCCGCAAAACAGAGACGCTATCGCGTAATTACAGATGCGCCCGCATGCCAAGCTTTGCGTAATCGAAACGTCTGCTTGCGAGCGACTATTATTAGAAGTCGCGTATAAAAATTCCCACCTAAATATTAGATCTAAAGATATATAATAAACACGTTATATGCCAGGTATGACATCACGACGAGCTTTCAAAAAAATACAGTTAATTTACAAATAAATTTTCTATATATAGAGTTTAATATTAGTTTAGAATGTTAGATTAATATAAAAATATTTTGATAAAAATGTTCGTATCGATTTGATTAAAAATTTGAAGATTAAATTTGATAAAAGCGAACATTGAATTGCTTGTTTCTCGCCTTTTGTGAAATCTCTTATCTTTCTTCATGAGAAGTTGACGTCTTCTAAGAATGTGATACATTTTGGAACTCTTTGTCCTTACGTATAGTGCTGTAGATGAAAGTTTAGTGAAGTGGCTCATAAGATACGATACCATAAGATTGTTGTACATCGTAAAGTTTCTCCGGCATTTGCTGGCGGTGAAACTGTTTCAATAGGAATAAATTGTGACCGTAATGTGTCAAATGCATCGAATTAGGGGAACTGCGATAATGCCTCGTTCATTGACTTCTATTCGTATCCATTTTCTACATTTCTCGGAATAGCCAGTTGTTGATAAGTACATTAATCAAAGGGAGAGAGAGAGAGAAAAATTATTGTAAACGCCTTCGTGAATTACTGACACTTTGCTCAATCAACTGCGCTTGCAAGTGTCAAATATTACGAAAACAAGTAGTATTAAAAAACACAAGAAATTTCATGTTATTTCGTTGAATTAAAGTTCAATAAAGAATTTAGTTCAACTGCTCGTTTATTTTTTTCTGACGCTCCAACATCGTACAATAAGAAGCCGAGTCAAGCGCACACGCACTTTGAATGCAAATTCTTATGGAGCCATTTCTGTTCTCCATAGCCGGTCGAGAAAATTACGCGTTCCCTCGGGTATAGGCGATATCCCCATAATTACTTCCTAATCGAGCAACTCGCAACGGCGAGAGTCAAGGTTTCAATTTGCGGCACAAAGTAGCAACGCCTCTATACCGAGAAAACACAGCCGGAACTACTTTTCTCGATCCTCTCAGCTCCCTTCATTCGACTTCGAATTACAAGCTGGTACGTGCTTGTAACTTGTCCTCTCGCGATTCCAGGAAATCTGAAGTTTATGAACGCCTAGAGAAAAGATACATCGCTGCGGCTTTTCCTCGCTGCGCCGCACCGTCGATAGCGGATATTCACAGCACACGTACTTACAGGTTTTTTTTCTTCTTTTTTCTTTCTCATTATTCTTGAACACGCAAATCTTCAATTACCAGACAAGTCGCACAAATAAATCGAGTGGTGCATAAAAAAAGAGTTACCTATTTTAAAGATCCAGCGCGAGTGCATTATTTATTATGAATGAAGAGTGGAAACGCGACACGTGTGTTTTAAATTATTACGTTACATATTAAGTCTGCGGCGCACGAAGCTTTCGTTACACGTTATTACACATTGTCTACGGCACACGATTTGTTACATTAATACATACAGTCCACAAGACAACGTATTAGTAATAAGAAATATGTAATCCTAATTAACAATATTGTCATTTAAATTAAAACTAATTGTGAGATTAATTTCACATCTTAGGGCTGCTAACAAGACACCTCGCGTGCGATTTAACCGAAAAATCACACTGTGTGTCACTAACTTAATTCTGCCATGATCAGCTGATCAGCTGATCAGCTGATTAGTGGCAGTAGGCCGAACACATGATTGTAGTACAGTCAGATAATCTGACTCAGACTGTACATACAATGGACTATCATCGGTCGGTTCCGCTTAGAATCGGGATCGCTCGGGATATGGTGGTTGCAAGCTCGCAGGTCGATCCAATTGTCAATATTTTCGTATGGAAAAAATACAGCGAGAATTAAGTTTCATTTGGAAGCTGAAATGTTGAGAGACGCAAAATTATTTATCTCGAATAATTAGTTCCCGAGATGTTATAAAATTAACCTCTTGACAGCATAAGAATATACAAAACAACCACTTCGCTAATGCGGAAATGCATAAGTAAGAAGTATGTAGGTTAGATGTGTGTACATGCTCGTGTGTGGAACTGCACAATCGCTGCTTTTCAGATATATGTACATATACATCTTCCGTGTATTGAAAAGGTTAATCTATTACGAATTATTAAACGTATCTGAGGATCTAAAATTGTTTCGAGATATTTTTAGGAATTATGACGTTTATCTTTCAACCGCATCGCGTGGAGATATTTCTAAATGACATCGATTTTTCATTATGTTTTCCGTTCAGTTATGCATAACATAATCGAAGGATTTGGTGCAAGAATGAGACAAATCGACGATTGGTAAGATCTTAAAACAGACTTTAGAGATTATGGACTTATTTTATCCTTGCGCTAAATTATTCAATCGTATAAATTTTATATAATGTCTCATAAAATAATGAGCTACTTAATTTGCATGCTAAAGAATCAATATTCATCATTTGATCTTGAACCTGGATGTCTAGAAACTTGGCGTCGACCAATAATTATGTTCCAAGACAGGACTGATTATGAGTCAGACATGCTCGGTACAACCGCACTCAATCATGTCGGTGCAATTGCACTCACCACAACTTGGACCATGAAAGGAAAGTCTGGGCTTTCTCTATTCTACTTCTAACAGCTTGAATATATAAAGGATTCAGGTGACCTCAACAGGTCTTTTTTCTCCCTGGCTTGTTAATGCAGATCACCATATTGATAATGATGTAAACGTAAGTTCCTTTGCTTAATTGGAGAACGAATTTTATTTACATACAGTAATTAACAAATTTTCTGGAGTGTTATTCCTTATAGCATTATAATAATATAGTTTTATACATATATTGACAAAAATATCTGATTAGCTTTCAATGCAATTATAATTAATAGGTTATTGAAAATTATTAATTTAAACAAAACTTTATAAAATATACATAGCAACAATTATGCAAAGCTTGCAGAAAATAATAAACATGAATTTTTCTAATCTTTTATTAGAATAGTAAAATATTGCTATTATATATAATTACGCGGAAAAAGTTTTTCTTTTGAAACTGTTTTTTAAGAACAATAGAAAGACTAGAAACGTATGGTTATTCACTTTTATTATTTGTATACGCTGTTATCTACGCAATTATACGCAAACGGCGAATTATATGCGTACGATGTAACAAACAGTAGGTCGGCAATAACTGCATCTCGTCAGTGCAAGTGCACTCAGAGTCGCCTTCCAACTGTGAGAAGGTATTCACGTATATTAGTCAATCTTGACAAAGAAACTGGTTTTCTATCATGATGCAACTTTTTCATCGCCGGAAAATCCATTAAGAATCTCGTTATACTGCAATTTTAATACGGTTTTATTACGTTACATCTTATATGCATTTTATAATATACACGATTGGACTTTGTTATATTATATCAAAGATAAAATGTTTATTAATCTACATCAGTATTATTCCACTATCACCTATCATTGAAATTTGACTATGGATGACAAAAAATTGTTTATCAACGTTTTTTCCGAAAGCAATTAATACTTTTTTGCTTGATATGTAAATCGCAAAGAACAAAAAATGCGCGCATGTGTCGTAGTAATATACTCAATTATTATTTATAATAATTTATTACGTATTTTTTATTTATCGATTAGAAAAAGAGCAAAAGAGAGAATAGAAGTTATATTACATAAAATAAAATGCGTCACTTTGCAAGGAATAAAAATGCACAAGAAAAAGTAAACATACAATAGAAAAAAATATTTTTATATATATATTTTTTTTTTAATTTTATTTATCTATATATTGTGGACATATTGGATGTATAATTTCAGGATGAAAAATCGAGGGATCTCATTTATAAATAAAGGATCTCACACCAACTAAAGCAAGAACGATGCCGACGTGCCATCTGGAAGTTTGACGCTCACCAATTCAGATTCCAATCCAGAATTCCAATCCAGAAGAGGGTAACAGCTCTTTATTTGCGCAAATCCAATAGCTCGTATGGCTCACTATACGTAATGTATAATGGGTTGCAATAATGCAGGCGCTTATTGTTAGAATGTATATACAGGGTGTTCCGTTTTATTTCCACAGTCAAATATATGAAAATCACGGGGTTTTAGAAACAATTGGATCAGACAAAAGTTGTAGGGCTTCGGAGGAGACATAAAATGGTGCTATCGATTTGATCTTGGACAGCCTTTGAAGATCATATAAAGGTTTTAATTTTTTTAATGGGAATTTTTTTATTGCATATTCTTATGTGCAATTATATGAGTCTTGAAATTTACGCAGAGTACGGTTGAGTGAGAGAGAAAGGAGCGATCTTTCTCTTACCTTTCTGTACTCTGCGTAAATTTCAAAACTCAGAACTCTGGAAGTAGTGAATGAAAAAAGGTTTTCTTGTAGTGTTTTGAAAACGTCTCGACCAGCTATCAGCCACCAACTGAACTACAAGAATATGCAATAAAAAATAGAGGTTTCCATTAAAAAAATTAAAAATTAAATGACGTTCACGTGACCATCAAACGGCTGTCAAATCAATGGCATCATCTTATGTCCCCCTCGAAATTCTATAATTTTTGTCTGAAACATTTTTTTCTAAAACCCCGCGTAATAACTTCGTATAGCAT